ACAGCGGCTTTGCAAAAACTTGTATTTTCACGGTTGCTATATTTGGAGCTTTCGTTCAGTTCTCGTGAGTTCTGCTGGTGGCTATTTTTTGTAGTTTCTCCCGGTTACGCAGAGAAGTTTGCGGCATGTTTGCATGTTCTCCAGTCTTGCTTCATGACGCGATCGCAACCTTCTGCCTCGGATACCGATGATTGTGTGCCATGAGGTTCCAACTGGCCCTGCAACAGCAAGCTTGAGAGCAGCTGCCTTCCACCAGCTACGCGATGAGGCCGACTTGCGACAGGTCCCGGCAGAGCGGGCTTTAGAGCTCATGAGGTTGCCTAAGCAGACGACTGCAGCAGCCATCCGGCTGCAGGCCCTCTTACCGCGGGGCGGTTGCGCGGTGGCGACTTGCGTGTCATCAACGCTCCGCGCAGTGCCAGCTGCGCCAGCTGTGCCAGCGTAAGCACTTGTTGCAGACCAGATGAAGAGTGGGAGATTGCGACGATGTCAATTTGGCAGCCAGCGAAAACGCACAGATGCCCAGCCAGGCCCCAGTGTCAACCTTCAGCAGTCCGTACCCTCCTTCTCCGTGATCGGCAAGGAAGCAATCCACGTGGCACTCGCACGCCTGGATGGTGGCACTGGCCACGAATTGGTTCTCGAGCAGGAAGGGGTTTCAGTGTATGGGACTTTCTTCCAATCCATTGTCAAGTTTTTTTTCAACTCCTGTTTATAATACGGGGCCATACATAACACAGTTCACCACGGGGAAGCTATCCCCCCAACAGTGCAGGAACAGAAACAAATAGACCCTCAAGAAGCTCCTATAGAGTGCATGCAGAGCTTAAGCAAGTAGAACCCCACGAAGCCCCGAAGTAATCAGACCCCCCAAGAACCTGCAGAAGTTCGATGGCAATTTTCGCGCAGGACATATACAGTACGATCCAGCGTGGATCTGTGCGCTTGCAGCTCTGCCCATGCAGAAGCAACTGAAGTTTTCGGCCTGGTGATGAAACCGCGTGGGAGATTGTAGTTTCTAGATTGTTGGCACGAGCAGCTTAAGAACCATGTGCGGGCGACTGGGGCGACAGCAGTAGTCCAGTAGTCTTAAAGCGCTCGATGATGATGCAGAGCGCTTTTGGCGGCGCATGGTTTTTGCAGCGTCCGTGAGCTCCAGGCGGCGCACTACCCCGCATATGCGGCAAGAGAGAATTGCTGCAAGGGTCTGGCAGCACTGGAAGCTGCCGGGGCCAAGCTGGATGCGCTCTGCGGCATTGCCGGCAGGTCGACTGGTTTGGTGCAGGGTGTTGCTGTCTCTCCAAGCACCATCCGCTCACCAATGATGCGAAGTTTGTCTTGAAATCAGGCCGTTTGCTGAAACAAACGAGTCACAGACACTTGGCAAAGGTTTCTGAAAACTTGGAACTTGTGCCTCCGTGCGGGCGCCGAGTAACGAGAGTGCAGTAGCAGCGTAGCAGTTAAGAAGCACCAAGCCAAGAGTTAAACGTTCTGAGGGTGTGGTTCCTGGATTGGGGGCATTTTCCACTTGGAGGGTTCCTTTCCCAGCTGGAAGTGACAATTGCCCTGTCAATGACACAAGGCAAGCATATCTCATCATGAATATCCCGTCGTGATCTCGCAGGTTTCAGGGGTTCAGAAGAATGGATGAAAGGGGTGTAGCATTTGTTCATGAAAGTGTTTGTGCTTAGAGTTGAGTTTAAGTTGAGGCCGGAGGTTTTGCACAAACCAGTTCGGGGACCTGGCTCCTTGAGTTGGGCTTCGGGTACCCGATGCCCAGATGCCTCCGTGGCTTGAAGCCTCCGTGGTGCTCCAGCTTCAGCAACTGCATCATGTCGCGTGGCCTGTGAGGCACGTGCGTAGCTTGCATGATTTAAGGGACGTCAGGGCACAACCTTGCATGGCTTTCTGGTTCATGTTGAAGCATTTGAAAGGCCTCAGCAAGCCGCAATCACCTGTCCATGCGTGGCAGAAAGAATGGAGTTTGTTGTGTCGGTCGTGTATGGCTTGACCGGCGCAGCTGCGGCTTCGGGAGCGGCTACATGGCAGCACTACTCAGCATCGCTGAATCCGGCGTATCCTGGTTTCATGGTGTTTTTTGTTGCCTCATTTGTGGGATCTGCTGCATAAGCAGTTGGCTTCGCTCGTTTTGCTGGCCTGCTTAGATCCCTATTTATACATGCGCCCAAGGCTCCTCTATCATGCAGAATCCGAACTCTAACCCAGAACTCCGCACCACTAGACTCTCTGCCTACAACGACTGTAAAGCATTCGGGCTCATTTGCTTTTCGAGTGTCACTTGTAACGGTTTTTTTGCCTTGTTCAAAGTATTGCCCATCGGGCTGTGACTTTTCCGTCTGCTAGATAACAACATCTGCTCATTTCGTGGTCGAAGCCTACAGCACTTAAACCTGCCGTCTTAAGTTGTCAGTGTTTTTGTTCAGCTTGCTACGACTGTATGGCCATTCGTACTGGGCCCGGAAGGGAACTGGGCCTTGGAACAGCTGTTGCAAGGCTCACCGACCGAAACACAGCGTGCTCAGTGGCTTAGGCTAGGTTTTGGTTTCAGGGTTCAGGTTGAGGGTTCTGGGTTCAGGGTTTCGGCTGTTGCCATTGAATACGGTTTTCTGGCGTATTGTAGCGCATATTCAGGAACCCTATATTCCTACCATTATTTGTAATTGTAGCTGACAGCACTTCTCAAAGGCCGCGGCCTCCTTGCAGAGATGGCCTCCTCCAAAGTCCCGCCCACTGTGCTCAGGGCCAACATTCGCTCGAGGTGCGTGTTTCGCGTGGAGAACGATCACAGTGCAGAAGGCGTTTATATGGGTTCCCTCGGTCCCGGGGCTACTATCTCGTATCACCTGGGTGTTTTACGCATCTGCAAGGCGCCTACTTCGAGGAACGCATTATAGACGTTATATCATCTTATCAAGTTCTGTATCTTCACCTTCATATTCTTCGGCGTCCGTAGCGCGCCCTCGCATCTGTCAGTGTCAGTGGGCTTACACACAGGAATCTTAGCACGAGTGTGTGCTTGTGTATGGCACCTTATGTAGGACCTGTAGCCGGGTTTCATCGGTGAGTGGCGTTCCCATTTACTCGGAGTGCAAAACTGCTTTGTGCACGTGCTCTCTTATGAACGTCCACTCCGAACAGTGCGGCAGAAACATCCTGATACAAGCATCATCGGGGAGGACCCTGAAGGCTTTGTCATTGATACGACTGGGTATTCTTTCAAGTGTGATGTTTGCCCTGCACAGTTTTTGACGAAGCGTGCCCTGAACATGCATCGGGTCAGTGCTCACAAAGCCAGAAGGGCAGACACCGCTCATATCACCACATGTCGCTGTCCGCATTGCAACCGTGTCTTTGCAACAGTTGGCTCCGCAAAGCGGCATTTTCTAGCAGTGTGCTCCAAGCGCCATGTGGCTTCAGACAGGAGAACCAGCTCCCCGACGTCGTCGCCGCGAGCGGGGCGAGGATGGTCCTCACAGTTCAGCCATGCTCAGCTTGGATGCTCGTCTTCGCAATCTGGAAGGGCGTGCACCGGCGTGGTTCTTGAACGAGACGGAATCGGTGCTAGTCCCTGCCATGCAGGCAGCTCATCAGACTTACGACTCGCGCCATCCGGGCAAAGGCAAGGCACATCCGGATGGGCACAGACGAACCACACTAGCAGGAGCTCTTCTTCTCAAGCTGTCCGAGTGCGACCTTTCCAAGGCGGGGGCGGCCGAGCAGACGGAACTGACACGGCGCAATCGTATTTTGGAGCACGCGAAGATGTCCAGCATATCGATGCAGCAAGAGATCCTCAAGTTGCTCATCAAGGAGTACCACACACCGACGCTCATGCAGCCCGAGATTCACGAGTGCTCTTGGTTCAAGGCGAAGAAGGGGGGCAAGTACGTTCTGGTCCTAGCTTTGCAGCCGCACAGTCCTCTTCATCAGACTTTGGGATTCGTCCACTTCTGTCTGGAAGCTCTGGGCGCAGGGCCAACTTTTGGGTCCCACCTCGCAGTGGAGTCATGAGAGGGTTGGCTCAGGAGATTGGCGGCGCCAGTCCAATAGCCAGGGGAGTAGCGCTCAGGTCACACTCGATCACATATGGGGTCGGGGTGCCTTTTGAGGTGGTCCCCAAGCGGGGGTAGCCACTCTTAGGCCACCGTGTCCGTGAGGCACGTAGCAGTGCTGATAATGTTATCTTCAGTCCGATATAGTTGACTGCCCGCGATGCGGAGATCGTTGCCAGACTCTGTATACGCGTAGATAGTTGGATTCGTCGGACTTTGCTGCGCAAGAGGCCCGTGAAGAAGAAGGCACCTTACGTATTAGATCTATGTATACATATGCATTGCGAGCATTTGTCAGCCTTGCATGGCCCAAAAGCCCTTTGGATAGCTGAGGATTGGACTACTCCAAATCCCAGCGTCTACTTGGCAAACGTATTGATTTCTTATCTTAGAATGCTTCCAAATGTAGTATATATACCTCAGCGTCTACAACAAATCCGGCACTTTGGCCTGTCTGCTGCGTGCTTCTTGAAACCAGCGTCTACATGGGGTTTAGCTAGCTAGTTCTGATGTGTAAATTTCCCGCTGATGTGTATTCTCCCTAAACCAGCGTCTGTCGGCATTGATGTGCATTCTCACCAGCTGATGCCGATTATCTAAGTCGCTTGCCGAGGAAGTGCGGATACAATGCGGCAAAGATCAAAAATAGGCGTGCGCGCCTTAAACCGTAACCCCGAGCAGGCAACCGAAAATGCTCCGAAAGGATTTTTTAAAGGGTTATGGGGGCTCTAGAGCTGTAGGGGTTCAGGGATTAGGCATTGGAGACTCAGTAGTTTAGGGGTTTGCCGGCAGAGCGTCTTGGGGGGAAATGCTTCCCAGCACTAGTCTGGACAGTTTAGGATACTGTGTTTAGACGTTTCATGTTCAAGGTTTCGGAGGGCTTGCAGGCTGGTTTCTGCGTCTAGTGTAGGTTTGCTGCCCGCTAAGGGCAAGTGGACGCTTCTTTGGAGTGGAACGCCGAAGCCGATGCCCCAGCTGTTGTTTGCCTCAGAGTCCAGGTATTTTCAACCGCAACAGCCTTCTACATGGGGAAGTTCCCGACAGCTGGCACCTCGAGCAAGTTTCCGAAACGGACTTAGACAACCACCTACAAGCACCCATTTCCATGAGCTTGCACGAGATCCTCCCAAAGCCCCTCCAATCCAAACCATCAGCTCCAATCCCGACACAGCATGCCGCCAACTTTGTACAATCCTATATGGGTGGTTGTCAAAATTGTAGTTCGTTTTCTGGGTACCTTAAATACTACCAGAATATTGACAACCACCTATATCTTCCCATGCAAACCCTGTAGAATCCTAGATCTTCCTCTGAGAAGCACTGTAAAATCCCAGATCTTTTCTCTGAAAAGCCATCAAACAGCCCTTGAGTCCATAGGCCAGAGGCGCTTCGCGAATTCCAATCCTTCCAGAAGACGTGACCTGCCTGCGTAATTTTTGGCATTTACCAGTAAGACAGTAAGACTGTTACTACAATCATGGTCATGTCATTTTTATTGTTGATAGTGTATTGGTATTCAGCAGTAACTGCATTTTCATGATGACCGTGGGACTTTACACTGTTCCTGTTTTGCATTCTATTCCTTCGGTTTTGGGATTGAGACAATACTGCGTATGCTGTTGTGCATCTGGCTCCTTGCATGAACTTGCACGAGCTCCGTTTGTGTATATGCCAAGTGCATATCCGGATGCTAGAGAGAGGCATGTATGTGCGCGTGTATGTTGACAAGCCCCCAGCTGCTGTCCTGACGGGTTGGTCAACGACTTTTTTGGTGCACACGAATCCGTGTGACGTGGCGCAGCTCAGGCATCTCGTACATCGTACCTTGACCCACCCAACCTCGCAAGCACAAGAAGAAGCCCCTGCATCTTGTGGTGAGTAGTAGCTAGTGTGCATGGTACAACGCAACCTGAACCCGAAACTGTGATTCTGGCAGGGTGCGTGGCAAGTGCTGTTCCACACTCACACATGTCAAAACGTCCTTTCACACCTGCAAACTGTCGGCTCTAGAAGTCTGTTTATTCTGTAACAATGGCTCATAGAAGCTTTCAGGTGATGAGCTCTCTTTGGGGTATCCGCCAGGAACCATTTCCCCGCGTCCAACCATTTGGGTAGGAAGGATTTGTCGGAGCCTCGGCGTGAGTGGCCTGCAAGCATCTTGGTATGTAGGATGGAGGCTTCTTGTGGTGCTCCGTATCCTCATTGGCTCCTGTTGTGCTTTCTGTGCGGAGTTGATCTTCTCATGGAGGGCAAGCGCAGAGGAACGTCCCCTAAATGCATTTGTGCCCGGAGTGAGCACTGCTTGCCGAAAGCTTTAACTTAGAAAGGATTCACGGTTTGGGGTTTGATGTTTGGTTACAGTTCGCGGTAGCTACACAGGCTGTGGCGCAACATCCGATTGATGCAGCAGCGATTTCCGGATGGGAGGCATCGAAAAGTCAAAATGCGAGTCGCTCTTGCTCTGTGTAGTTAGAGATCGCACAAATATTTGGCCTTGCGGCCTGGATCAGAACATGTCCGAGCTTCCACCTGCCGCAGGCCGTTTTGTGCACGAATCTCTACGTTCGGGCTGTTACAGCTTGTTGACAACATTGCCTTCCAAGCCTCATGCATCTTAGGGTTCCTGCCATCTCGCAGAAAAGCATGTGGACAGGTTCGACATAACTCCCCAGACGTTCCTGGTGCCCAGCCACTTCAAGTTCTGGGTGGTGCCCGCCTCATCGGGAGGTTTTGTCGTACATGACATACTATGGGGGCCTCAAAAATGAGAATAGGGTTTGCGGGTATATTATTCTAGAAATACAAAAAGGAACCCCCCAACCCTATTTCAATTATGGAGGCGCCTTTGTAAGTTAGAGTCCTCGGGGATCTCGTGCTTGGGGTTTGCCAGGGTCTGGATTCAGATAGTTTAAGAATCCTAAACCCTAAAACCCTAAAGCCCTAAACCCTAAACAGTTTAGGTGCCATTCCAGACGAGTAGACGCAGCGGGAAGTTTATGCAGCACGTGTTGTGCTTCGACGAACACTAGCCCAATATACGTAAACACAATTAACACACATTTTCAACCATGATGATACTGTACATACCAGACATTATAACAAATCAGGTGTCACCTTTGGAACGGCGACTCTGGTCTAAACAACCCCAGTTGATTGCCCTGAGCCGACCCCGAAGAGAAGAAACACGCCACACTTCTTATTAAAGGATTTGTTTAAGTTACCCCCATAAAGATTAGTATAGATCCCAATTGTGGTAACTTAAATTAACTGAACTCTTTAACGAGAGCCCAGAAACCTACCGGACTATGTAAAATTCCGAGCCTGCAACATTCTACAAAGTCCTGCACTCCCTCAACAGCTAAAGTGCCTTAAAAAGTCCTATCAACCCCGCAAAGAGCCCACCCATGACCTTGAACGAAAGAAAAGAGCCCTAAGATGAATTATGAACTATAGAATACATCCAACATCTTCCGCCGTCGCAAGGCCGCAAGAGAGGGAGATCCTAAAGCTCTCTGGCCTCTCGCCTGCAGACCCATGGGCTCAGGGATTAGGGTTTGGGGAGTTCAGAGCTTACTTGGAGGTTTCATGGGCAGTTATAAGTGGGGATATAAGTAAGGCAACTATAATTATAATACCCACCAGGCGACTTATAACCCCATTTATAACGACCTATGAACCTCCAAGTAGGGTTTGATGTTTATAGTCCTCGGGCTGCTCCTGCAGCCATCATAGGGCCTTGAAAATTAGAGTGGGGCTTTCAAGGGTGCACCTGTGTCATTATATTATACCATACTGTAACCGACTTTAAGGGACTAGAAGGGGATACGAATGCTAACTATTCAGACCTCTCCATCAAGCCCAAAACCCTCGTTTAAGGTGTGACGTAGGTCCTACCGCAACATAAACATTGAACTGGGGTTGAAGTGACAGGGGTGCAGGTCACTGATGACGGTGGTTCAAGATTCCTATGCCGCTGAGTCGCGCTACTGTTCTTCCGTGGCTTGCTCGCTGTTTTTGGCTATGAAGTGACTATACAGAGAATTTCCGGGCACTCTGTAACGCCACTGGTGGCGCACCTGCAAATGCTGGCGAAGGTAATCATGATGCGCATGGTACTAATGGCTAATCAAACACAGCTGGTCATGTTGCTCTCTCTTTCGGATCTGCCCATGCAATAATGGGTGTCAAGTTGGCTGTCCTACGGTAAGCATGTGTTCGGGACTCCCGTCTTCCCCGGGATTGGGTTGCAGATCACAAATGAACAACCCTCAACCCTAAACTCTAAACCGGTAGCGACTTGTTGAGGCCCTGGTATCTCTCAACGCGAAAGGAAGGGTGGGTCGGAGTCATGCTGCAGCACTCTTTGTGCAGCAGCGGTGTCCGAAATTGTTCTCAGACCCAGTGAAGGCAATAACACGGGCACTAGCACTGCCTCTTCTCGCCCTCATCCCCAACACCGAGCGCTGCTTTCAAGAAGGGCTGCGAGTGCACGTGAACTGCTGTTTCTGGATTCGATTGGAAGGGTTTTGATGGTGCCTACCACCTCCCTTCTTCCTGCCGCTACCCGCGCCTTTAACGCTAAGCCTCAAAGCCCTAAAGCCCCGAGCGCTAAAACCCTACAGACCCTCACAACTTCCCTCGCCGAGGATCTGGAAACCTTGCAACTCCAGCTGTGGTGCCTCCCTCAGAGGGGATGGGTTGTGGGGGTCGAGGCTCTCATTAGGGGGGTTGTGAGGGGTTTGGGTTTATGGGTGGCTACTGTTGTTACTGCTCAGATGCCATAGAGCTACCTAGACCCCCAAGAGTAGGCAAAATAATGGCCCGAGGCCCAACAAAGGCTATTATTCTACATTCTCTTGGGGTCCAGGTAGTACAATTGTGACGGCGAATATGATCGCCGGCTTCGAAGCATGGAGTGGTACTCGTATCGTACGGCTGCTGTGGCAGGATCGACAGTCCGGCTCCATCACAGACAGGAACACAACGAAAAATCACCTTCAGAAGCGACCAGTTCGTGATTCTGAAAGAAAGTGCACGTATACTTGCAACTCATCAGCGGGAGCGGCAGAGCATCGCTCGATAGCCTAAAATCAAGAGATCGTGCCGCTCAGTCTCCCACTGCAATGTTGCACATCAGGATGCTGTCGGGGGAAGAGGTGACGAGCATACCGGTGGGGGAGTTGACCGAAGTGAGGGAATTGAAGCATCAACTGCATCGGCTGCACGGCTTTCCTCCGCGCTTCAGACAGAGGCTGCTTCTTGGGGGCCAGCCCATGGAGGATTCTGTGCAGCTGGAGTCACCCATGGACCTAGAACTCGTCCTGCTTACGCATTCTGCCGCATCGCAGATGCAAGCATTCAAGCTGGCGACCGCCGCCGGGGAGGGCTCCGCAACGGAGGTCCCTGCCCTGAAAAGCCTTAGAGCCCTGAACCCCTAGCCTGGAAGCTTCAATTTAGATCTTATGGTAGATGTGGTATCTTCTGGCCTTATGGTGCATTATGGTACGTTTAGTATAGTATGGCCCTATGGTCGATTATAGATTTGTGTTGGTATCTTAAGGCCATGTGGTACCATTGTAGTATGGTTTAGGACATTATGGCATAGTATAGTAAAGATTGAAACCCTGCAGGTTGAGGCAATGCTCCAGCTTCCTCAAGACCCGGACATGGGAGATGAACCGGGCAGACGTAGATTGCTCGGCGCCTCTGTTCACGGCCGCGCCGAAGTTTTGTTCGGTTGCTGCTGGATGCAGCGGCAGAAACGAACTTGACAACCAACAGTGGATGCACGGCTCTGATGCTAGCTTCTCAACAAGGCCATGCTGAAGTTGTTCCATTGCTGCTGGATGCCGGCGCCGACGAGGACTTGACAAGCAACAATGGCACAACTGCCCTGATGAGGGCTTCCCAACAAGGGCACGTTGAAGTGGTTCGTTTGTTGCTGGATGCAGGTGCGGACAAGAACTTTGCAAACGAATGCGGCACAACTGCTTTGATGACAGCTTCTCAGCTAGGCCACGTTGAAGTTGCTCGTTTGCTGTTGAATGAAGGTGCCGACAAGAACTCAACAAACTACGAGGGCAGTTCGGTCCTGATGGTAGCTTCTCAACAAGGCCATGTTGAAATTGTTCGATTGCTGCTGGATGCCGGTGTCGACAAGAAATTGGCAAGCAGCAATGGGACAACTGCCCTGATGAGGGCTTCCCAACAAGGGCACGTTGAAGTGGTTCGTTTGTTGCTGGATGCAGGTGCGGACAAGAACTTTGCAAACGAAAGCGGCAAAACTGCTGTGATGACAGCTTCTCAACTAGGCCACGTTGAAGTTGTTCGTTTTCAGTGGCATTGATAGTCAGAAGCACTCTGCGAGCTGCCTTTGGGATTGAATGAAATCTCCACATGTCTTAGCTTGGCCCTTTCATGTAGTCGAAAGGATAGTTCTGGCAGCACCAGGCCGGAGCCTCTTCACCTGCGTGTCCTAATCTGTAACTGCACGCTGGAAACTGCTCTTCCATCCGAACAGACCCGGTTCAGGGATAATGACACAATTTTGACCCCCATCTTACAAATCTAACTCTCACGTTGATCCCGATTTTAACATTGATCCCGATTTTCGTGGTGGTTTAGGGTTTAGGGGTTTGGGGTTCTTGGTCTATAATACCATGGACTGGGAGGATAGTTCAGAGAAGATCTGACTTCTTACCCTGCGAGCGCGATTCTGAACTGTAATTGCTTTCCTTCGGTTTAGTGTGTTTGGGAAGTTAGGGACCCTAAACCCTAAACTCTAAACCCTAAACCCTAAACCCTAAAGATCAAGCCGTCTCTAATGGAAGCCGTGAGGACGGAAGTTTCCTCGAGTCCGTAACGTAGACCAATCGTCAAAGGACACACCTTTTCGGGTTGGATCCTTCTCTTAGTAGCTGAGTAAGTAGCCTTTAACCTTTTGCTTACCTTTGGTTAGTAGGGAATGGAAGAATGGTAGTAATAGTAGTTATAATTGTACCTCATTCCGCCATTCCCTACTAACCGAAGGTAAGTTTGAAGGTAGGTTTGGGGTTTATGGAGTCCTATTTCGGGTTTGAGCCTTCTTGGTTGTCCTCATGTGAGGTGGGTGTTCAGCTCTCCGGGGTATGTGGCAACCCCCCCGAGCACCTGTTTGTCCTACATCACCGGGCCTGCTTTAGAGCATAGTTGTGTGAAGGGGGAAAGGAGGGACCCTTAATGGCGACCCCTACCCCATAATGGGCTATATAATCGGTATATAATAGCTATATATTAAGGGGGGGATGGTCCGGGATCTGAATTGTCCCGACTCTCTCAAACTCGCAACCAGTGGACAGCCAGCTTTTTGGAGAAATGGACATGCCATTGTTATCGTCCACTCCTAAGCCCCTGAACCCTAAACTAAACCCCAAGAAACCCTAACCCCTAAACCCACAACCACTAAACGCCGGCACACTAAGGGGTGAGGCTCAGTGAGGCCTGACCAAAGTTCTCCGCCGAACTGAGAGTTCTGAAATCGGAAAATGGCCCTAAGACAAACTAGGTATCGATTTGGGATATGTTGAATGTCCCTCGTTGTAATATAGAGTCTAACTACAAATAACTTTGGAGACTGTTGAGATCGACACCCAGAAACAGCCTAAGCGCCAACATAGGGGCTTGAACAGTTGGAGGTTTTCTATGTAATGTAACTATACTATACTAAGAATTAGAATACATTCGAAGAGAATATTTGGAGATGGTTCTCGCTAGGGTTCCTTCTGTAGCTATACTACATTCGAAAATTCCTACTGAGTCAGCCCTGGTAGACCCTCAGAGAAACCCACATAGAACCCTTTAAAGGAGGTTCAGACCCCCTACGTCAGGCCATAAACTTCAAGGGTCTTCCACTGCCAAAAGCGGGAGGCCATAGCTCTAAACCCCTCTTATAAATCCCTTTTAAGGAGCCCTTTTAAGGAATCCCCTTAACCTAAGTCCCATGATCCTCCAGGTCGTGGCATCAAGCTTTTGCCTAGGAACGTCTCGGCGAAGGCCATCGGCTACTTAGAGGTTCATGGGAAATTATAAGGGTTGTAAGTAGGGTAACTATACTTATATCTCCAATTTGGCGGCTTATAGCCCTACTTATAACTACCCATGAACCTCCAAGTAGCGGCGAGGGTTCGCATTCAAGGTTCAGGCATTTTAGGGTTCAGGAGGGCTTAGGGTTGGGAACCCAGAGAGCCCAATACCCCTTAATTAAGGCTTGCGCGCCTAAAAAAAACCACCGCTCGAAATGTTGACGACGAGGAAGACAAGGATGATGATGAAAATTACGATGGTCACGATGATATCGATGGCGATGGCGATGATGATAACGATGATGATGACGATGATGATAACAATCGTGGTAGCAATGATGATGACCTAGCGATCTGGCAAAGGTGACTGTGCAAAGACCTTTTGCCCCATACCTTTTCCATCCACAAACCTCAACAAACTTGCCGCGACCTTCAAAGTCATCGGCCCCACCAGTGTTTTCGCCTTCTGCCGTAAGAATAGCTTTGCAGCCGAGGTCCGGAGAATAAATTCAGGCCGGCTTTTCCCACCACACAAAAAGCCCACTGCTCAACACATTGATGACGATGATGATAGCGATGATGATGAGAATGATGAAGATAATGGTGATATCGATGGTGGCTGTGAGGATGATAGCGATGTTGACATCGATGATGATAACACTGATGGTCGCCTAGGGCGCCCAGAAAACTGGACACGAAATCGTGCCCCGTTTTTGCTTCTGCCACAATACCGCTGGGGAAGGTCAAAACGTGCGATTTTGCTGCGCCTGCCACACTTTTGTACACTTCTCTCGGCCGCTCCTCTGTAGGTTTTGTCTTCAGGGTGGTTTTTTTTAGGCGCGCGCGCCTTAATTAAGGAATATGGCTTCAGTCACTTAGGGCTTCATCTTACGATTTAAGCTATATTCATCAATTAAGGGGTGTTGGGCTCTCTGGGAAGTGATTCTATATCTGAATCGACTGAGCATGACATAGGCAGGGCGATCGGACGAGGTTTGTGGGATAAGGATGCAGCAGTTTGCCGTCTCGGCCGGGGTTTTGGGGGTTTCAGGGACCCTAAACCTTAAACCCTAAACCCCAAACCTTAAACCCTAAACCTTAACCCTAAACCTTAAACCCTAAACCCTAAACCCTAAACCTTAAACCCTAAACCCTGAACCTTAAACCCTAAACCCTAAACCCTAAACCTTAAACCCTAAACCCTAAGCCCGGCCCTAAACCGTGACCTTCTACAAAGAGTCTGGCGCGAAAGGTTCAGGCTCGACTTGAGAGCAGGAACGGCGTGATCCAAAGATACATCGTGCGGGCCTCGGGTTCAGGGTTTACCTTAACCCCGAAGAACCTAGATGTTTAAGGACCTATATCAAGAAATCACAATAAGGAACCCTAAAAAGGTAGGTTATTCGGGGATAAGGGTTTAGGGTTCGATGGGTTCAGAGTTTGAGATCTTTGAGTCTTTAGGGCTTCAGGCCTTTATTACTCCCACTCCTGCCACTGCTACTATCTGCTGCTGCCGCCAATACTACTACTACTAGTACTACTACTACTACTACTACTACTACTACTACTACTACTACTACTACTACTACTACTACTACTACTACTACTACTACTACTACTACTACTACTACTACTACTGTGTTACTACTACTACTACTACTACTACTACTACTACTACTACTACTACTACTACTACTACTACTACTACTACTACTACTTACACTACTACTACCACTACTACTGCTAATACGAACTACTACTACTACTACTACTACTACTACTACTACTACTACTACTACTACTACTACTACTACTACTACTACTACTACTACTACTACTACTACTACTACTACGATTACTGCTACTGCTACTGCTACTGCTACTGCTACTACTACTACTACTACTACTACTACTACTACTACTACTACTACTACTTCTACTTCTACTTCTACTTCTACTTCTACTACTTCTACTACTACGACGACGACTTTTGCTTTTAGAGGGCATGTCAAGCGTGTTCGAGGTGTCAGGCTTCGATGGTAGGATATGGTATTTAGGCTCGTCGCCTTGGGTTCAACACTGTCAGGGCTCTGGTCGTGTGAGTAGTTCTCTACTTCAGGGGCCCGTGTAGGGTCCTTGTTTACAAGGGTGGCGTCCTGTTTGGGGGACCTAAAGTTAGGGACTCGAAGCCAGTAGAGTATCCACGGCAACAGCCAGTCTTCGCAGAACTAGGCGAGACGAAGCACAGCAACCGCAATGATAGCAGCAGCAGCATTGTGTAAATCGTATGTCGCTGTTGCTGCAGTGAACACTATGCAAGACGCTTGAAGCTGGACCCCCCAAGGGCCCCCCTTGCCGAAACTTCTGCTAGAACCATCGACATCCACAATCCCGTGCAGAAACGCGTGAAGCTTAACAAGACCCTCAAACCAGTGCAACCCGTTGTCGAGCTCGAAACACCTGCCACGCCTTGTCACAGCAACCTAAGGACTCCCAAACCCTACACCAAGATGTGGGAGTTTCCGAAAATAAGGGACCCCAATATAGCACCCTAATTAGTAGGATCCTTATAATAAGGACCCCCAAATCAGCTGCCCCTACTTTTCGGAAACTCCCATGTTCTGGCGTGTAAGCTGGGGGATCCTCCTCGTAGAAACTCGCAAGTCCAACCCCCCGACCCCAAACTGGCAAAAGCCTCAATACCTGAAGCCCTAATCCGTGAAGCCCTTGGAGGCCCACAGGGTGAATGCTGTCGTGCTGTTGTATACGGGCCCCATATGGGGTATTATAGGCTTTTGTATGGGGGTTAGTTATTTGTAGCTCTTTTTTTTGCAGGGACTATAAACAGGTGGTACTAAGTGCTCAGGCTTCCATATTCGACACGACCCTATAAATCGCCCGTCACTACCTAAAAGCCCAAAGCCCGAAACACCGAAACTCTAAACCCTCAGGCCCTCAGGGACTTAGGGTTCGGGTTAGGGGTTTAGGGATGGAAAAGCCTAACCGTTCTAAAAGCTTCTAAACCGTTTAAGCCATCCTAAACTCTAAAGGAACGACCTCTGCTCATCAACGGCTACAAGTTCGACCTCCGCTTGTATGTCGTGGTCACCTCGCCTCTTGGGTGGCACTGGGAGAGGTTGAGGGCTTTGGGGTTACTGCAGGGGCTTTAATTTTTAGAAAAGGGTTCCTTCACAGGGGTCTACAAGGGCTACCATAAGGGATCCATAAGGGTGCTATAATGCAGGGTTACAACAGGGTGTTGGGGCTTATACTATACTATAATTATGATAGGGAGCCCCCGGCACCTTATTCTAATCATTAAGGCCCCTGCAGGGTGGGTAGCCTCCGCTTGAAGGGGAGTTTGGGCGCTTTGGGCATTCGGGGGCTTCAAGGTTTAGGTGTTTAGGTTCTGGGGTTTTCATTTTGTGTGTGTTTTAGCAACGTGGGCCCTGAGCCAAAAGACTTGGTAAGGAGAGGTGGAGAATGCTGCATAAAGACAGAACGATCGATTCTGTAACGGCTGCCGTGGGTTTTCTTTGAATATTGGCAGCTGCTCATGAGGTAGTTACAGCAGCTACAACCGTTGTGGTGCTAAGCAATGGCCGCTGCATGCGATTGAATATCAATCCGGTAGCATTCAAGCGAGGGAAGTTCACTTGAGAGTTTTCGAAAATAGGGGAAGCCTAAGATAGTACCCCAAATAGTAGGACCCTTATTCTAAGGACCCCAAAATAAGGTACCCCTAATTTCGGAAACTCCTACTTATGAACAGTTGCTTCCGCTCAGGTTTGACCCTCTCAAAGTCTACCTCTTCCACGAGGGCCTAGTGCGGCTCGCCACAGAGCGATACACCTTGAGCTCCAAGACGCCCACGACTGAGACTTCAAATCTTTGGAGTTGCATCACACGAGCTGGCTTTTCGACATGTGGTCCTGGCTACTGGCAGCAGCAACCAGTAGTAAATCAGTAGCATTTTTCTGTGACCTTGGCAAGACGTGCGAACAGAGCTGAGCTTCATTAGCACCAACTCATGTTCAGCGTGATCCCTCGTCTTGGAGGCTCAGACGCCGCACCATGCATCTCACGAACTATGCTGCTACGACCTTAGTACCGGCTTCATTTTTTTGGGCAGTGACGGCTCCTGGGGTTTTGAGGTCAGGATTTGGCATTCTGCTCATAGGGCTTGATTTTTAGGGTTTAGGGTTTAGGGGTTGTGGGGTTTAGGGTTTGAGGTGTGTTATGGTTTCTCGCGGACACATCAGACATGAAGCTGACATCCCTCCAGCGGCCTAAGCAGCGAGTGTTTTTATGGTTGAGTGTTTTTATGGTTGAGGGTTTAGGGTTTAGGGTTTAGGGTTTTGTTTAGGGTTCAGGGTCTGGGTGGCCGCCAGAAGCTTGCTTAAGATGCTTGCTGAGGTCAACAAGAAGTCGGCGGCATACGTGAGGAACTGCGACAGCCAGGCTGCTGGCCCTGACCGACAGTGAGTGTATATGGTACAGAGGGGATTGGCGTCCATAATTATTGGTGAATCTAAGTATAGTGTGGGCTTTAATCGGTTTGAGGGATACCAGCTTTCAAAACCCTGTGATGCGGTTTGTTGCTGTTGTGGTCGTGGTCTTGGCTGCTTTGCTTCACTGGTGTTTTCCTGCTGATTAGCATTCTCATTGGTATTAACTAATTGGTTTGTTGACCCTAAACCCTAAACCCTGAATGAGTTCTGGATGCTACAGCCGTGTCTTGTCGTAGTTGATTCCGAGCCGGTCTTCTGCCACCCGTTGGAGAGCTGCATCTTGAAATCCCCACAATAGTTCCTCAGGGGCCGACGAAAAGATCCGCTTGTAGTGCATTATGTCAATATTGGTCCATTATAAAGATATGGTAGTTACCTTATATCATAGTACACTATTATATTGCTATATAAAAACATATTGTTGTTATATATATATATACATTATACACATATTCTTTTGGTAAAGTCCAGACCCTGAGCCCCTAAGCCGCGTTTTCAGCAAGGCGACTTCTGTTTGCGGCAGCGAGCTGCGACGGGAGCTGCAGCACTCGCCGAGCCCTGATCCTGAGGAGGTCGCCCTCCGGGGCTCAGAGCCTGGGGTGGTGTCCTTATGACAAGGGTCCTACTATTTAGGGTACTATAGAGTGGGGGGGCGGTGCGGAAAGGGTAGTTTCCGAAAATTTGGGGTACCTTATTTTGGGGGTCCTTATGATAAGGATCCTACTAGTTAGGGTATTATATTAGGGTCCCCTAATTTTGGAAACTCTTATATAACCGGGGTTGAGGATTGCTTCCGATGGTCCATAAATTTCATTAGATACTTGTGGGACTATCGGCGCTGTCACCATCATGTCAGTTCTTTTGCATCCTGTCAGTTCATTTGCAGAAACAGCAGAGAAGGGATTGCTGCAAGAGCAAACCTTAGGTTTTTGGGTAAGTCTTGGGGTAAAGTTGTCAGGAGCCGGACGCTGAAGACGACGCGGCTACCTACGATGGCACTGACGAAGCAGACCTGACGCTTGTTCGCATGTTAGGACCTCTACATGGCCCTTCGGTTTGAAAGTTTCTGCACATAGTCAGGCTCGCTAGACCCAAAACAGCAGGACCCTCTCACTTAATTACCAGGGCGCCACCCTAAACCCTAACTTTTTGGGTCCCTCCATCTAGTGGGCTCCATATCTTCAACGCCGGCCTTCAAGGTTTAAGGGGTTCGCTGCAGGTTCTGCGGTTAAGGGTCTACAATTTAGGCTCAGGCCTACGAGTTTCCACAAAAGCCGGCTCTTTCGTTTGAGGCTGTTGTTGTTGTTGATTCTGGCCTCCCGAAACCCTGAACCCCCAAACCCTAAGCCGGTAAATATTGCTCTTCAAAGCTTTGTTAGATTTCACTCGTGGTAGCTCTACTGGTACTCTTGTGATCTTTGCGGGATGTCGTATAATATGATCATGAGTAGGATGATGACAACTATGGTCACTGTACTTAACCCTAGGCCCTAGTACTGCAGTGGGATTCAAAGTTTGTGCCTCCTAGTTCCAGGTTCGGCGTGTTAGTTGTAGAGGGTGTTTTCAAGATCTTCTTTGCAAAGCTCAGAACACCTTGAAGCCTACTTGGAGGTTCATGGGTAGTTGGAAGTGCGGTTTTAAGTAGGGTAAGTATAGAACAAACCCCTCAACCCTAAACCCTCAACCCTTAAACCCTTAACAGATCTTTCAAGCCTCGAAGCCAAGGGCCAAAAGGAGCCCCGCTCCCCTAAGCTGTTTACGGTAACCCCTTACGGGACCCCTGAAAGGAGCCATAGTATGCAACCCTATTATCGATTCCTACAGCAGCCATTACAGAGACCCCATCTTATTTAAGAGCCCGTAAAGAATCCAACAGCAGGAAAGTTTGAATCCCGAAACCCCAAAGGCCCTAAACTCAAACTCTAAGCCCTAACGCCTATAATGCCGGGGTACTTAAGCCGGCAAACCAGAACCAGAACACTAATTGCTCGGAGTGCAAGGCCCCACAACCCTACATAGGAAATACAGGGACATGAGCTTTCGAACAACTGCCCCTGCATAAGATCGCTCAAAAAGCCCCCAAACCAAGTCTGCTGGTTAACCCTGAACCACCTACACCCTAAGTCCAAGGGCAAAGAAAATTAGAAGAAGAGCCCGAAAGCCTGCTACGATCCTTAAGGCCATTAAGGCCCTCCAGCCCTAAACTCTAATCCCCAAACCGCCTCCCTAAACCCTGAACCCTTAACCCTAAAGCCCAATCGGGCTTTCGTAAAGCATTCTGCAGATCGACAAGGAGCCCTTAAAAAGAAGAAAAAACTAAACCGTGAAGCCCTCAGGACTGATGTCTTCAACGACAGCGAGGAGGAAGCGGAAGATGCTGTGGATGAGACACCCAAGGCTCGGTGAAGCCCAGTTCTTTTCAGGTTGCTTTGGGGTTTCAAAACGAGTTGGGTTTAGGTTTAGGGTGATGTGAAATTGGCTGTGTACCTGCTTGCTGGACGGTTTCATGCGGGGTCTAATCGGCTTCCAAGTTCCATGAGGGTTGCTCAAAGGGTGTGTGTGTACATATATATATATATATATATATACATACATATATATATATATATGTATATATGTGTATACACACACACACACACTCGTAAGGGCTGCTTACAGGGCTTTTTATTTGGTTCCTCTTGGATGTTCATACGGGTTTAGGTTTGAGGTTTTCTTGTCTGGGCTTGCAGGGTTTCTAAATGTTTTTACAAGGAAGTCTTAACATCTACAGGGTGGTGTAGGGGTTGCCGGTTTTGCTTTTAATCTATGCTCTGCTCAGCGAGCTTCCATCTGTTGCGGATCGACTAAACCCTGAAACCCCAAACCCTGAACCCTAGACCCTGAAACCCAAGCCCACGAACCCTCAACGTGCACCCTTTAGGAGAAGGGAGCTACGGAAAGATCTTTGATCACTAAACCAAACCCTAGTCCCTAAACCTTCAAAATGCTCTAAGCTAGGCTGCTTAAGCCCTAAAAAACCCGAAGCCCAAGACCCAAAGAGTCTAAAGAAGCTGCCCTGTTGTGAGGCCGAGCCATCTACAGGCCGGCAGCTAGTGCTTGTGAGATGCACGGGGCTTTGTATGATCTCTACGTATCTGTACGAATAAGGTACCCCAAGGCAGATAAGTTTTCTGCTTCGGGATGTATATTGGTATACTTTTTGGTGCAGAGCCCAAGGATTTGAGGATATTAGGCCAACGTCCCTTGGCAGCTATTGTGTATTTTCGGTTTCTCCAAACGGGAATATTGAACTATTGCCTGTCGTTTGGTCAAAGGTGTGTTTGTTTGTGTGTGTGTGTGTGTTAAGCGCATGCATGGGGTTTACGATGCATAGGGCTTTTCATTTGCCCTAGACCCCAAACCCTAAACCCTATCTAACCATTGATATTGGAGGAGCTAAGGAGCAAGGGATGATGATCCCTATTAAATAAGGAGCTATATTAAATAAGGAGCTAAAGAGCCAAGGGAACCCCAAAACCACTGGTTAGCTATTGTGGGCAGCTTCTCGGCAAAGTCTGTCCACTCAGCTTTTGCGGCCGGTGAGTAAGGCCGGAGGGGGTCTGGAAAGGTTAGCAGAAATTTTTACTATGCCATAAAGGTTATCACAAGGGTTCCTGTAAGGATTCCCATGAAGGGTCCCTTTATAACGGTTAATACGGTTCCATGAGGGTCTGCGCCAGGTGGGGAGAAGCCTGCTGGCGACGGACGATCCGCTTCAAAGTGGTCGTTGCAGGACTCAGGGTTCAGGGTTTAGGGATTTGAGGGTCTAGGGGTTCGGAGGTTTGTGGGTTTAGGAATGTGGGGTTTAGGGTGTAGAGGTTAGGGTTTACAGTGCATAAGGCTCGTCCGTGACTTGCGGTTTGGGTAACGGCTTGTCAGCATCAGGGAATATTCCTTATTTCTTCTCCGGGATCCTGCTATAATTTAAGGTTCCTTCCTTAATTCAGGGATATTGGAATGTCTGGGCAAACATGCCAAGTTTCGTCCTATCGAGTCAGGTTGGAGCGACAGACTGTTCGGAGTTTCCGGGAAAAAAGGGGACCCTAATGTCGTGCCCTAACTAGTGGGATCCTTGTTTCAAGGACCCCAAAATCAGGTATCCCTATAGTACCCTTACAGTAACCCTTTAAAGGAACCCTCAGGGTCCTCTATTGTGGGAAACTCCCACAGTTCGGAGTCAGAGAAGCCGGAAGCCATCACGACAGGACTTGCGCGAGCATTTCGACGCTGAGGAGGGGCGCTGATTTTCGAACCACTGCACTATTACATTGCATTGTGGTGTGTCATATTATGTTATGATGTGTTATCTGCATTTGTCATGCCCAAACTACAATCGTATTGATATAGACAGTCTTATTGCATAGTTTCATTTTTGTGGTACATATTATGTTTCATGGTCTTTCTTACAAACCACAATTCTACTGCAATCTAGCATCTTATGTCACATCATGTTGCATTATCTGATAATGTTCGAGTTTACATCATGCTACACTATATTATTAAGTCTGTTGCACTATACTATACTTAGCTGAATTATGTTGTATCATTGTATACTGTTTCGTAATCCTTTGCATTCTATTATATTGCATTGTGTTACATACATTGGTTTATTTTTTGAGTTCATTCTGATGTATTTCGCATGAGGGTTTAGGGGAAGGGCTTCCGAGGTGCGAGTTCGAACATTCGGGTCTCTGCTTGAGGGTTTTTGGCGTTGAAAACCTTAGCATTGCTGTGTTGGGTCTACGCGCACAGGGGTCTAGTGCAGAGCGAAGACCGTATAGAAGATCCGTACTACTTATATACTCAACTAATGGGAGAACTTTAAACTATTTGGCCCTGGATCTTTAGTCGTTTTTAGGAGGTTTGAACTTTTCTGGGCCCTGTTTGTTGAGAAGAGAGTCTAGGGTTGCTATTGGAGCGGCTGGAGTCCAAGACGTACACAGATGTGCTTGCGCGGATTCGGCTTATGAGTTGCTGCAGTCTCAAGACGGTTCTGCACCTTGCGTGTGACAGGGCATCGACTATGATATGGTCATGTCCCAGATCAAGGACGGCTTGTCCGTGCCCATCCTAGGTTAGTTTAGGGTTGCAGTGCTTTCAAGCAGATAGAACGTAAGTTTAGTTTGCGACCCCTAACCCTTTGGAGCCTACGTTACGGGAAGAAACCCTAAACCCTTAACCCTAAATTCTAAACCCTTGACAGACAGAGTATGCACACACACACACACACACCTTTACTGTGTAGTTAGAGCACAGTACACCGCTCAGGCTCAGTCTCACAGTTCAGCTCTCGTAGCGTCGAGTCGAGAGAAGAACTCTTCCGCAAGTGCTGCGATTGCGATACTCTTTGTTGCTTCTTCCTGGAGCTGTAGTAGTAGCAGCAGCAGGAGGAGGCGGAGGAGTACGCGTAGTAGTAGGAGTAGGGGCAGTGGGCGTAGTAGGAGTAAGCAGCATCGTTCTCGGTTTTTGTCCATGCCTTCATTCTCGTAGTATTGCCAAGATTTCCGTAGGATTTAGTTAGTTGTTCCTAGCAACTTAATTATTTCTGTCATTGTTGAATGCGCTTCAGGACACAATCATAAAGACCTTGATCGCAGCGGAGACGCCGATTGTTGGGCTCTTAGTGCAGCCTTATTCTGTTCGATTGAAGCATGAAGGTGGGAATGGCGATCGGAAACAGCCTTACACGTCCTAAACCTCCACAAAGATATAAGCCCAAAAAAGGGCATAGTCAAATGTGCATGGTATGTCAAGTACCGATAGAAGTCTTCTGAACATTGTTCTTCGCAGTACGTAGCATGAGCATCAACTTTTGCAGCAGCAGCTTTATTCCAGTAGACTGATGCTCAACTTGTGTATCGGCATTTGGTAGCTGTCCCCTCACGAGCATGCGCATGCTAACTGTGGATATAGTTGACCTTGTTATTATACGATTTCCATTGCGACCAGTAGATTCGCGTAGATGTTACATATATACAGTTCTATCCCATTGTCACGACACGAGGTGCCATGCCCAGACTAACGGACTCCTTGAGCCGAGGTGAGCGCTTGGCACAATGGTGCCAACTACCGGGGTGCCAACCGATCGTGGCGTCCTGCCGGGGACCTCAGTTGACGCGCATCCTTAAACCCTCAGGCTTGATCCTCTAAGCCCGCGCAGTGGGGGGCCATGTGGGTGGGGCGGATGTGTCCGCGCGGTGGGCGAAAAAGTAGCTTCCAGCACCTTCTTGGGGGCTCATTATATTTATAAAAACCCTGTTCTAATTATTAAGGCCGCTGTAGTACTTGCTTTCTAGACCCAAAAGACGGTGGCGCATGGAGGCCAATGGCTACATGGGTCGTTCTCTACATTGGGGTCCTTTTCACAAGGGGACCTAAAAAGTTGGACCCTTTTTTTGAGAACTACCCTACATACCTCGGCGTCCCCTTGGCGAAGGCGCTTTGAAAGAGTCCAAAATATGTTGTTGGAGAGAACCTCTCTTGCTATACCTCAGATTTAGGTACTGCCCCCATACAGTAAGAGTCTATAGTAGGGCTACTATTAAGGTCCTCATAATTCTATATTATGAACATTATCCAACTATTACTGAGTGGGGGCCGTACCCAACCTCAGATATTTGCAAGATCGCCAGAAGTTCCAGAACTGCTAGACTGGATGTGTACATGGGTAGTTATAAGGGTTCCCTTAAGGGTCCCTTTAAAAGTATCTATAGGGATTCTATAATAAGGGTATATGGCTTAGGGTCTACTTGGAGGTTCATAGGAAGTTTTAAGTGGGTTTATCAGTTACCTAATAGGAGTTATAGCTACCCTACTTCTGACCGCAGTTATAACTACCCATGAACCTCCAAGTAGGGTTTAGGGTTATGGGTTGGCTTGGTTCTATCACGGGGAGTTTAAGCAGCGCATGACCTTCATGTGGACTCTGTCAAGCTTCCTGAAAAGGAGACTTGCATGTATGGAACAAGTCTCCAATGAGTCAATGAGTCTTAAGTCTTAAGTCCCTGACCCACGGAACGCTGGAACATTACATGATTGCGATTCTTTACATATTCTATGCCGTTTATGTATGTAATATCTGACCTACATATATGAATACATCCCTAGACCCTAAACCGGTTTAGGGTTTTGGCTTTAGGGTTATATATGCACAGATGTATGTTGACGACGAAGTCCTGAGGTTGGCCCTAACCAGACGTGCTTCGAGCTCTTCGGTTTCGATGTCCTGCTGGACGAGACGCTCCGTCCCTGGCTGCGGGAGCCTCGCTCTAGGGCGGCCTCAGCAGACAAGGCTTCAGGGTTCACCCTAAGGCCCCAAAGTAGTTCCTTTTAGGGGTTCATATTTAGAATCTTATGAGGTAATCCCAAAAAGGAACTGCTGTGGGGCCTCTGGGTAGGGTGTAGCAGTCGCGCGTAAACTCGACCGTTAATTGCAAGTCATCTTCTATATTAGGATGTGATGCATGCGGGCTAAACCTCATAATTCTCGCGAACTTACGCATTTGCCAGTCATGCATAATGTTCCTGGGTCGCACGACGAAGCTTTCGGCTGTGGCTGTAGCGCTTATAGTCCCTTATCTCAAGCCTTCATCAACAAATCCTCCTAGCCCACACGCCAATAGCAAGCTACTGCGGACCTCATATGCATATACAATATATGCATATATAATGTATATATGTGTATCTTTATTAATATATGTATTTATGTATATATCTTTACATATAAAATAGCGAGAGAGAGAGAGAGAGAGAGAGAGAGAGAGAGAGAGAGAGAGACAGAGAGAGAGAGAGAGAGAGAGAGAGAGAGCCGAGAGACAACGATAGCATGGTCCCTTGCTAGGTTTATGGGGTTACTCTGGTCGAGGTTTGAGGTTCGTGCTTTGCGGTATCTAGGATTTTGGGGCGCCTCAGTATGATCTCCATTGTAGTTCCTTTTTCTGGTTTAACCACGTTTGTATTAGGATCCTATGAGATAGCCCAAAAAAAGAACTACAAGGGAGACCATAGATGGGGTTCCTGGAGCAAGCTTGGGGGTTGCAAGAAGCCTTCATCTGTGTGCGTCTCAAACCGAGCCGACAGCAAGCTATCAGGAAAGTGTAAGGGTCAGTTCCAAAATAAACCCCTGAGCTGCAAACCCTGTAAAATTGTCAGTTCAAAAGAGCTGTTTCTGGCGTCGAGAATTCGAAAAGTTCCCAGGCCGTGGGCAAGAGCAGGAATCGGCCGATAGCCTCAAATTGATTAGTTCGTGTCGTTCAGCTTCCCTCCGCGATGCTGCACATCAGGGCGCTGTCAGGGGCGGAGGTGACGAGCGTACCGGTGGCTGAGTTGACCGACGTTTTGGGCTTGAAGCGCTACTTGCATCGGCGGCGTGGCTTTCCGACACGATTCAGGCAAAGGCTGCTTATTTGCGGCAAGCCCATGGATGATTCTGCCAAACTGGACTCATCTATGGAATCTATGGACCTGGAGCTGGTCCTGCTTAACTGTTCCGAAGCATCCCAGATGCAAGCAGAGAAGCTGCTGACTGCCGCATTGAACGGCTCCGTATCCGACGCCCCTAGCCTCACAAGGGGCTTAAAGTAGAGTTTGGGACATGGTTGGAATTAGGGTCTATCGTATATACTATATAATGTGGGGTTTTGGGTTTAGGCTGCAAGTTTGGGTGCTTTTGGTGTTGAAACTTGTCCTTCCCACCTGGAACCCCATAATGGGCTTCCCATATATTAAATTACGTTAAATGTGTTCTATTATAAAAACACTATTACATATTTTGTGAATCTATATCAAATTACATCACGTAAATTTACACTGTAGTATTTTAAGCTCTCTTATCCCATGTTATTTTATGTTGCATTGTGTATGCTATCCTACACCGTATCATGCTGTTATATCATATTACATCATACACGATGTTACAACCCATATATATATACATAATCATCTACTATAATCGGTTATTATTTGTCAGAATATGTTAAAATACATTAAAATACATTATGGTATGCTATGCTATGGTATGTCACGTTATACATCCTATGATTAATATTCTTCAAGGGCCCCACGCCTGACAGCCCGCAGGTTGAGGCCATGCTGCAGCTGCCTCAAAATCCGGACGTGGCCGATGCACAGGGCAACAGTCCGCTGATGGCAGCCTTTTAGCGGCTTAAAGCCCAAGCTTTTCAACTTTGCGGTCTCTTGGCCCTGCCGGGAATTCATATAGTGTTTCCCTAAAGGGTTCTAAAAGGGGTCTATAGTAGGATTCGATAATATAGGGGCCTTAATGATTACCTACACTATTAAGGTTTGTTGGGGGTGTAGGGCTTAGGATAGCGATGTCTTATTCTGAAAGTTCGAGCTTTTTGCCTCGGTATTTGTATTTGGGAAGTAAGGCTTCCGAACATGGCCATGCTGAAGTTCTGCGTTGGCTGCTGGAGGCCGATGCCAACAAGAACTTGGCAAACAGCAGCGGCGACACTGCTTTGAAGCTAGCTTCTCAGGAAGGCCATGTTGAGGTTGTTTGCATACTGCGGGAGCTCAATGCTAACAACAACTTGGCAAACAACGATGTCTTCGCTGGACTCTGGATCTGGATCGCGATCCTTCACCTTGGTGCGTTTGGCACCGGCTCTGCATTCCTGTGAATTGTCGTTTGCATCGCTTCTCTTCCTTTTGTCTTTGCTGGACTTTGCGGCAGTCCAGCAAAGACAAAAGGAAGAGAAGCGATCCAAACGATAATTCACAGGAATGCAGAGCCGGTGCCAAACGCACCAAGGTGAAGGATCGCGATCCAGATCCAGAGGTGGGGGCGGACATCCTGCAGATACTGGCCAGAAATAATAAAGATGCAGCACGAGTCTGCCTATTCGCCCTGTTATCGGGCAAATCGGTTCGTGGTGTTCTCACGATGGTCGACTTTGGCTCCATCGCTTGGTATGGCAAGGAGGTGCAAAATGCACGGCCCTGATGCTCGCTTAATTTAATAAGAGATACCATAATAAGGAAACCATATTGTTTACAATAGATCCCTATTATGGTAACTGAAACCTGAAACCCTCAACCCTTCAAGAATATAGATCCTTCAAAGGAACCCTGATAGATCCCTATTTTGGAAGCTCAAATTAAACGCCTCAAGAACAGCCCAGCACGTGTTGATTGATGTTGACCTGTCGAGGAAAGTCCGCTTCCTCCCCAAAGAAGTCGCGCAATGCTAAGAGTCGCCAATCAGGGGGTTATCTGTAGGGGCCGTAATAATTAGAACAGGGTTTTGGGAGATATTGTATTATGGTAGTCTACATAATCAGGAACCCCCAAATTCCTGTTCCAACTATTAACGCCCCTACATTACAGGAAGAACACAGAAGCTAAAGGTGCTCTGGGTCAAGCGGGCTCTTGTTGCTTCTGGTCACGCGAAGGCTCGAAGTGAACACTTGCCCTTCGCTTTCTTCCTCGTCACCATTGGCACGGGCCTGGATAAAGTGCAGACTGCTCATGCTGCCTTTGCATGCTGTCGCTGCTTACATAGGATTGCACCAGAGCCGTAGACATGGAGGCATGTTTTCGTGGGAAAACCTCTCTGTTGCGCTCCGTGTCAGCCAAGGACAAAAGGCTGAAAACACAGCTGGTGGCAGACATGCTTACCCTAGTGGGCACTGCACTCAGAGACCCTCAGAGACCCTGAACGCGGCAGCATGCCTTCAATTCCTTGGTGTGCTTCATCGTGTGCACCACCCATGTTGCACTACCCATGTTAGTCTATCAAAGCTGTGTATGTAGCAGCTATTTGTATGGCAAAAGCATAGATGTGCTTTGTCTATCTCTCGCGCTCTCTCTCTCTGTTTCTCTCTCTCTCTCTCTCTATCTCTCTCTGCACGACACTAGCTGCCAAGCCGAGCCCGCCAAAGGCCTTTCAGCCGGTCGGGAGGACGGCAAATGGAGAGCCTTGATCCGCTTGCGACAGCCATTATGGGCCATTATTGTATCGAAGCTATGTCCAACACGTAAGCCTTGAACCCGTAAGCCCAGATCGGAGAGGAAGTTGCCGGATGCCGCTCCTCGTGCTCTGCATCCCGCCCTGGAACGACTGAACAAAAGGCCCTGGCCTTTGAACACTGGTTGTAGGTTTGCTTCTTATCCGCACCACAGGTTGGACAATGATCGCTTCATGTCTTGGTGGACGACAACTGGTACAGCAAAATGGACACGGAGCCCAAAACCGACAGCAGACAAAGACCGTTGCATCAAAACGAACAATGCCAACTTCCCTCCGCCGCAAAGATTGGTCACATGTGCAAAAAGCTAAGACACAAAAAGACAGTGGCTCCGAGATTCTTGTGCACCACGCAAAACACATCGCACAACATGAAAATTGCACATTCACGTGTGCATATACCGTCATATACCTGTCATAGAGTATACACATAGGTCTTACAACCGAAACCCTAAACCACTCAGCGAATTACAGCTTTTTAAGTGCCTACAGGCCCCTGTTGTGCAGACCGTGTTTGCATTGTAAGAATAGTTTCTTAATCGCAGCAACAATGATACTGGTAACAGTGCCAACAAGAGTACAGGTTAGCAGATGTTGTCAGTAAGGGCAACAGCAACAGTAATTGAGATATGTACCACGTACCATGTAGTATGCGATATACATTCACAGCAACATTAGCAGCAACAGTAAAAGTGATAGTAACCGTAGTAATAAAAGTAATGCTCATATTTTTAGTATAGTAACTGTAATCGTGTCAGTACCCGTAATAGCAATGGCAAAACCAACAGTAACAGGAATAGCACTACGACAACTAGTCTGATCTATTTAGAATAACAATAACGCTATTACTGGCAATAACGGCACCACTTGAACAGTAGTAACGTTGGAAGTAGCAGCAACAAGCCGGTGACTGCATCTCCATATTGAACCCGCATTGGAGCCCAAGTGGTTCATGAGGCTCGCTTCTTTCGCTCCCATACAGCGGATGGATTGGCGTGTGGGCCTTGGCTTCAGCACAGGAGCTTGGAACGCGCCGAAACACGCTGCATGATGGCATCTAGATTATAGATATCGCTTTCTACGCACATGCGGATGCCAGAGGCGAAGTAGGCCCTACTTGGCATGCGGAAATGATCAGAACCCGCTCTGTCGGCAGGATGCATGCGACATTTGTCATCTAAACCCCAAAGCCACCCTAAAGGCTGGACTCCCTACCCGAACCCCAAACCGTAACGTCATTATCCCTAGGCTCCAAACCCCTCTTTAGGTCGGACTCCATTCGTTTGCGCGACCTTGGAGAGGCCTCGGAGAGCCCTGAGGTTTTGATGTTATATCAGGGATTTTTGAGGAATTCTGGAAGGCTTTTCCCAAATTTGGGGTCAACGGGTTTCGGTTTGGGGGTTTCGAATTTTGGGTGTCAGGGCTTCAGGATTTTTGAGTTTCATGCGGTTTTTCCTTTTGGGCTTCAAGCGTGGGAGGGGCAACTACGCAGCCCTTGAAGGCTGGTGAATGTCTAGGTTCCCCAGTAGTGCCCTCTTGCAATCTTTCTTGTTGGGTTCCCTTGGACAAGATCTGCAAAAGGGGTACCTTCATTATTAAGGGGCTACTGGGCAACCTAGCTGTAAGTGTCGCACAGAACATTGATGGGGTTGTCGTCGCATGCTGCGGTCAAGCGTTTCTAGTTCTTCCGCTACACCAATGTACCGCGACAACGACTGACTGCACATAGTAGCACTTTCTTCTACGACTCTACGACGACGATTCCTAGTAAGAGGCACTACTACTACCACTCAGGTCAAGAAGCCGTTTTTGTTGTCATCTGACAAGTGGCAGGCGGAGTGGTCGACAATCATGGATGCACACGACGAGTACTTGCGCCTGGGCCTTGCGGCTGCGCACTGAACTCTGAAGTGCTACAGCTTAGAGTTCAGGCTTCTGAAGCTTCTCAGGCTTCAAGACGCTAAGGGTTTAGGTTGTCCGGTTCGGGGTCTAGGCGTGAAGTGTGAGGGTTGAAGGGTGTGGAGGGCGGCTTTGTTTGACTGACAAGATTGAGTCCTGCTGGGCTCGTGCACTGTTGAAGTCACGTCTGTCACCCACCACCACAGTACTGCAGCGCGTGGTATCGACCTAAAGTCCTGAATCCCAAGCCTGTGTCCTTCGACCACCTCATAATGTGCAGGCCGTGGCTGCTTTGAGAGAATATATCCCTGCGAGACCGTGGATGAATACCAGGACAGGACTGCTTATGAACCCTAAAATCCCCTTCAACCCCAAACCCTTAATCCCGAAACCTCTGCCCGGTGTTCAAAAAGAAACCCTCGGTCCGAAACTCCAAACCTAGAGTTTACCTCAAGTACTTGCTGCCGTTGGCGGCGACGCGGCATGATGGGAGTTAGGATTAAGGGGACCCTAGGGCCTCGGGGATATAGACCCTTTCAATAAGATCACTTTAAAGAGAGCCAGAAGTAGGCTTCGGAAGGGGTACCCTTTAAGGGGTCTCCACATGAGGCTCTCGGGCCGAAAGTCCAACAACACATCAGGCCGAAGACAACCCAACAAATGGCCTTCCCTTCACTAAGTTCCTGGCGATTCAAGGCTTATTCTGCCACGGCCTTTCGGTTCGCATTGCGAAGAGAAGCGGGATTTCAAAAAGATAGGAGAGGAGCGTGTAGCATCTGCAGCTCCTTCCCGCTATTTATATAAGTTTCTGAGCATCATTATCAGAACATGCCCCTGGCAGTTCGTTGTTCATGCGCCTTCCTTTCCTCCTCCGGTCCCCTGCTTGCCTTACTTGGAAACATGAATACGACATGGCGCTCTCCCTTTGAGTAGAAGCCTTTAGAGTCGATCCTTGATAGAAGCTTTATAGAACTCCAATGGCGCTCTCCCTTGCTGGACGGAAAGCTTTGGTGTTCGGAGGCACCTCTGGGATTGGCTTGGCCACCTGCGAGGCCCTGCTCGCCAGTGGAGCAACGGTGGTGGGATTCTCCCGGAACCCTGAGAAAGACGGGCTCCCAAAGGAGCTTTTGGCCGAGAGTTGCGATGTTCGTGACCGCGAGAAGCTTTCGGAGGTGTTTGCTAAGCATGCCCCATTCGATATCCTGGTCAGTGCCGCCACCGGAGGGGAAAGAGCGATCGGACCGTTCCTGTCTATGGACCTGGATGGATTCCAGAACTCCTTCGACAAGCTCTGGGGCTATGCCAATGTGGTTCGTCTGGGAGCGGAGCACATGACTGAGAAGGGCTCCATCGTCCTCGTCTCGGGCGCTCCGGCGAGGAGGTGCAAGCCCGGGCAGATTTCCCTCAGCTGCGTTGGAGCTGCTGTGGAGAATCTCGTGCGGGCTGTGGCTCCGGAGATTGTTCCACGGAGGATCAACGTCGTCTCCCCAGGCTTGGTTGAGACTCCCATGTTTGGACCCGACTCGGAAGAGAGACATGCGAAGCTTGCAAAAATGAGCTCTGGGAATCCAATTCCTCGAGCCGGGAAGCCTGAGGAGGTGGCGCAGGCGATCCTTTGTCATAGTTGGGTAACATTTTATGTTTTTTCTAAAGTGTACTTAAACCCAGTCTTAAACCCAATTAGGAATACAGATGTAATTTATTAATCCTATCCCAACCATGAACAAGGATCATGTTTCTGCTTACGAACGAGTTTGTCACTGGGACCACGGTGGATGTGGACGGTGGCTGGCTTTGTGCCAACAAGTGACCTGAAACTGGGAGATACACAAGGCAGCCTCAACAGCCAGCAGACCAGTATTACGGGCCAGCAGACCAGGAATACAGGTCGCAAAATTCATAGTAACATAGTAGTACTCCGGTAAAGCCGCCACACGAAACTATATGGTATAGTATAGCCACCCCAACCCTATTCTAAGCACTAAGGCGCCCAGAGTGTTTGCACCGCAAGAAGACACCCTTGGCTTTGAGTTTAAGGCGCTTGTGAAGGATGGTTCCTTAGGCAAGGTCAAGTTGTCTGAATTTCGATGTATTATGCAGAATCAAAAGGTACAGAAGCTACAAGTGGTGTATAAGTTGTTATTGTGTTCAGTGGTTTCATGGGGTGTAGTAGTATTGCATGTTATTTTGCGTTCATGATGCCATCTTGGACGCATGTTCCGGGGTTTGGATTCAGCAGTGAAGACGACTGTCTCGGAATCTCAATCCGATCGTTGGGATTGCGGGCTCGTTCGCATCGTCGATTCGTTTTGCTTGCGGGATGTTCTAAGTCTGCTGCCGGCAAGAACTTGCGCAGTGGGATGGCTTCTCTGCTTTCATGTTCGCTTCTTGAACAGGCCATGCTGAAATCTTGCGAATGTTCTTATCCCTAAACCCTAAACCCTACACCGTTCGCAGCCCGACACGAAGGCGACTCTGCCCCTGGGGTTTGCTTCTCACGCTTCAAGCCTGAGGTTGCTTCTGGCGTCAGGTGCCGACAACAGCTCAACCAACACAAGACAAGCACTACACGATATCCCCTCTCGAAAACCATGAAGTTTGCAACATTTCGCAACCCGAAACCCGAAACCCTAAAACCCTTCCAGCATCTCTTGTCGAGTCGAGTCCTAGAACATGATTCGCTTGCTTCGACATCACTGGATTTCGGGCAACGACGGCCGGGGGTTGGGGTTTGGTTTGGGTTGATCAAAGGGATTAGGGCTTTTGGGGAAAAGGGGGGGGGTTTAAGGTTGAGGGGATCAGGGAAATGGGTTTAGGGATTTCCGGATTTATGTCTGACAGCCTTTGAGTTTGTGCCGGGTAGCCAGGATTTGGGTGGTTGTTGTGTGCTTTTCGGCCTAAACAACATATTACATAGCGTTACAGGGCACATGAACCGCACGTCGAAAAATTAATAGTTTGCAGTGAGGCCTTTTCTAGTCTTCCGTCAGGACCTTTTCCGAACTCCGCGTTATGCCAACTGCGTTTTGGCAAAATGGCTGCATGAAGGAGGCAGGGCTTCGTGATGTGTTCTGAGCTAGGATGGGCCATATTATGCAGGAGCCTGAATACTTATCAATATTATTACTTAGCGTTCGTTGTGTAACGATACCATACTGTACCCCGAAAACTATTCTAATCATCACGGCCCCTCGAATACGCTAGTCACCAGTCCTTGCTCTGAAACCATAGTTGCAAAGGCTTTTGATGCCGAGACATGCAGATTTCAACAACAGTGTCTTCCCGAGAGATAAATCAGAAACACTGCATCACCCGTCATGTTTTCAAGCCTGCGAGCTTACAAAAACGTCATTGTGACATCATAGGTCCGAAATTTCAATGGGACACGAAGATAAAAGAGATGCGAGGAAAGATATGAGCCCTACTCATATTCATGGGTGACGTCGTTCTCTTCAGCATCCTGGACCTCATCGTCGCCGCTCTTGTCAACCTTGGTGTTCACATTCCTATCCGTTTTCGCTGCATCGTCTCGGATCATCATCGCCATTATCACCTCAGGCAGTAGCATACATGTTTGTGACGACGATGCTGACGATCTTCTTCTCCATCACCATGAGGAATTTGTGTTCGTCCTCGTCACCAGCGCACAGCTCGTCATCACCGCAACTGTGACCCACGCCATCGTCACCTCATCAATGAACACAGCACAAAGAAGAGTAGCAACAGCATCAACACCATCACGTCCTTTTCCATCAGCAGCACGACGCTGTTTACCTTTTCGTGACCATGATGCGTGAACATGATCGAGATGACGATGCGAACAGCCGGGACAACGACGTGATGACGAGGTGGCGAGATGATGACGGTGATGAGAGTGAAGGCATTGCTGAGGCTGCCGACGAACATGATGATTGCTGTGATGAGGATGATCCTTTCCAGGGTGATGGTGATAACGATGATGATGATGATGATGATGATGCAGACTGCAATGGTGATGACGATTGCGGTGATGATGTTGACGGATTGTTGATCATGTTGCTACTGCTTTTTGTCCTCCTCCGCCTTGACATCTCCTCTTTCCGTGACTCAAACACAGGCGAAAAATGCTTCCTGCCCGGTTGCGAAGATCTGCCCGTGCCTTGGTAATTCTGATCACCATCCCCGGACATCTTTCGGGAAAAATCGAGGTACAGACAAAAAGCAGGCAGTAAGTGCTTCTGGGATTTCTGCAGCCTTTGGCATTCGCGCCATGAGACCCAATAAGTTCAGAGCTTTGAGGGAAGGTCTCCGTGAACACTGCTATTGCTGGCTGCAGGCGACCGAAGTGGCTGGCCCAGCAACTCTTTACCGCAGCGTGCTGAAGCGGGTGCATCAACCTCCTCATCAGCTGCACCTTACTAGTACCTTTGGATGCTGGTGAACGTAAGTCCTGGGTCCCAAAGTCCCATTGTGGCAAGGTATGCGGACAAAACACAAAGCTACATTACTGAATGAAAAGCAGATACAAGCAGAAGGCATCGAACCTGCTGTCTAAATTCGAACGTCAGGCTGAACTGCATGCAGCTTAGTAGGAATTATTGTTCCCAGTCCTCTACTCAAAGGTTTTTGCTGCTGATTCGCCTACTTTTTTGTCCCTGTACTATCAGCCCGGCGCTTCTGATGTGACTACTGCTCCCCTCTGCCGCTACAGCGTACGAGTAGTTGTAGTACTACGAAGAGTCTCCATCTTGCAATGAACCGATCGAAGCCATTTGTCTACCACAGGACTGAGTATGAAGCCTCATGGTTTACTACCAGCTAGTGTTTAGGGCATCCTAAACGTCCTAAACCTCAAGAGCGCCAGCGGCAGATACAAGGAATGGACCCTTAAGTAAGGCAAGCCGTTATGCATCAGAAGCCCTAAAGCACCTGTTGCTCCGTGAACGCAGCGGGTACACCGCTTAGAACGCCTCCAAGCTTTATGCAGGCTCTCTGAAAGGCCTTACCGCCTTTCAGACCCTGAAGACCTGCGGAAACCCAAGCCCTCCACCTTCCCAGACTTTGAGCCTGTCTTGCGCGCCCGAAACCTAAACCCTAGAGGCCGTAAACGGAAGCCTGTTTTAAAGAGGGCGCGCCCCTAGTATAATATACTACAGCATACTACAGGTATGACAGGTATACTAGAGTATGTCACCATATACCACAGTCTACTATAATCATGTACTATATAGTATACCACAACAACCATACCCAGAAGCCCCGGCAGAAAGAACCCCCTAAACCCAAAACCCTAAACCGTGAACCCCGGAGCTGCGCCATGGGTGCCAGCGTTTGCGGCCGGATCTGCGGTCTCCTCCGCCCAGACCCCGAGGTCCCCTCTTCTCCTCTTGTTTGTAGGTAAGGGTTCCTTTAAGGGTCCCTTTCAGGGATCTATAGGGGTACTACTAGGTATATAAGGGTTCCTGAGGAATGTTTGATTGGTTTTTGCTCATGGCAAACCCAAGAGAATATTAAACATAGTATTTTTGTTATGGTTCTAAGGGGTGTATAGTCTTCTCGGTAAGGGTTCCTTTAACGGTCCCTTTAAGGGATCTAGAGGGGTGCTCTTTTAAGGGTCCGTTTAAGAGATCCAAAGGGGTGTTCCTTTAAGGGTCCGTTTAAGGGATCTACAGGGGTGTTTCTTTAAGGATCCGTTGAAGGGATCTATAGGGGTGTTCCTTTAAGGGTCCGTTGAAGGGATCTATAAAGGTACTACACAGGCTTAGGGCTTAGGGTCTACATAATGCCCAGCTTCTTAGTAGCTGCGTAGGTAACCTTTTCGGGGTTCAGGGTCCTACATATTAGGGGTTCCTTTAAGGGATCTGTAGAGGTTCTAAAAGGGGCTCTTAGTAGCTGAGTCGGTAACCTTGAACTGGGGTTCAGATGAAACTGCCATAAACAAAAAGGTTAAGCTTGATTGGGCTAGGGTACTCAGCCCCTGGGGCTACTAGACTGAATACTGAAGCGGTTCTGCTGCTTTTTTTGGTTACTAAAGGGTGCAGGGATCACTGCTACTGTTATGGTTACTATACGGGTTAGGGTTTAGGTTTTAGGAATTACTGTCACTCTTACAGTCACTGTTACTAGCGATATTAGTAATAGCAGTAGTTACAGTCAGTGTAACAGTAATGGGTAGTAGTAATAGTAATCGTAATCGTCATACCGAGTGTAACGGTAATGGTAATGGTAGTAGTCATGGTAGTAGCACAGGATAGTGGTAACAGTCCATTACCATTGCTAGTGCTATTTAGCTATTTGTCGTCTTGAGCGTCGTGGTGGCCGTGATTGGTTTACACGCGGTTGTTTTGTCGTTGTGGGAGGTACTGACTAGACCTGATGCCCCTGCTTGTGCTGTTGTTGCTGTCTTTGTTGCCCCGTGTTCGTGGCCATGATCTTAGTCACCCTTGCCATTACTTGTTGGGGTGCCGCTGCTGGGATATTGGCATGACGGCTCACAGCAGTTTTCCATGAGAGCCAATCTGACACATTGCCCCTTAACCCGAAACTCGAAGCCCCAAACCCTACCCCCCCCCCAAAGAAAAAACAATAATACATAATAATAACAAGAATAAAAATAATGACAGTAATAATCATAAAACCCTGAACCTGTAAACCCTTGCAGGCTCGACAGCTTCGCGATGCCCCGACGACGCAGATGAAGAGGTGTCCCTAGCCGAATTGCCTTGCATCAACCCTCAAAAGAGCATTGATACAAAAAAGGCCCCCATAGTACGTTCTTGGGCTTCGGTGAGCTCAGGCTTTACCGATCTCTACATCTCGGGTCATGATGGAACTCCAAACCGGGGGCGAGAAAAGATTAGGCTTGAATCCGTCGTGCTGTGACTGTCTGATTCAAGTGCGTGAGTCTTCGCGCCCCTAAACCTATCTAAACCGTAAACCGCCCTCAAAGCCAAAGCCCTTATCAGAAACCCTGCAGACCCGAGGCCCTAAACCCAGAATGCCGCAAACTCAAGGAACAGTCTCAGAGCTCCGGGCGTGAGCGGAAACCCCCAAAAGTTCTCCCGTTGATCCTCAAAGACAAAGGGATGACAACACATGAAAAGAACAGGCTAAACAATCGAAAACCTAGACTCCTAATGTAGGAGCCTGATTAAGAAACCTTGGGCCTTTGTTAAGGCTCCCTATATGAATCCTACTATGTTGGGGTTATAGGCCCAGGGTTTCTTAGTCAGGTTCCTACATTACCAAAGACAGGGGTTGAGACAGGTGGCTGAGGCTTAGGAGTCGTCGGGGCTTTACCGGGTTTCCAGTCAATGGGGATGAGGCTTCTGGGATTTTTTGCGTGGTTTTGCTGTATGTCTCCGAAACGAATAGAGAGACTGTATTGTAAGATATGTGGATATTGTTACACTTCGCTAGTATTATGACCCTGATGCTATAGAGATCGCATGAGTGGCCCCAATGCTATAGAGATCGCATTACTTAGGTAATCAAGTACGCGATTAATATTCCTGCTACAGCTACAATAATAGTTATTACAGCCCAGATCTCAGCTTTGCTTCGTGTTTCTCGTTTATCGTACAGTCTGGTGGGATTGAAACGATGCTGAGGTTGATTTTGGTATGCTTCTCCATTAACGGGTCTTGTGCTTTCTGGTTCCACTACTTCCGTTTTGAATCCGAAACCCTAAACCCCGAACCCCAAACCCATAAGTCATAACCCCTAACACCCGAAATTCCACCCCAAGCCATCCCAAGCCCAAACCCCTAAACCACAAGCATGGGACTTTCGACAGCTCCTTTGACAACATGGCAATCTTCGTTCCATAATGTGGGTGTGACTTCTTTGATGGCTACAGCAAAATGCGCAGTTCAACTTTTAAAAAACACTAAACCCTTGAACCCTAAATCCTAAATCCCTAAACCACGAAACCCTTGAAGCCCCAAAGCTCTTTTGCTCAGAGCCTAAACCCTAAACCCCTAACCCCTAAACTCCGAAACCCTAAACCCTAAACCCTCCTCCCCCGTTCCAGGCTGGAAGCGCAGCAGCCGGCGCCTTCAAGAGCAGGCCTTTGATCGCTTACTGCAGAGGCCTTAATAATTTCTGTTGATATAAATCCTAGGGTTCCTTTAAAGGGATCTATAAGGGTACCTTTATAGGGGTTCCTTTAAGGGATCTATAGGGTTGTAGGGTTTAGGGCTGATGATGTATAAATCCTGCATTACCTTAATGACCCTTAGCTATGGGAGTTATGGAATATTCCGTATTACGGGTAATGCAGGCTTTATATTATGAACCGTAGTACAGGGTTTTGAGCTCCTTTGCTGTATTATTGCAATACGGAACCCTCAGGAATAATATCGTTCACTATTTAGGCTTCTGTAGTAGCCGGTTCCTTTGTAATGTGGTTTTTTGAAGGTACCACAATAGCGATGATCACAACCGGTGCTGCGGGTTAAGCTAGGGTTTGGGCTGTGTGTTGGCATATTAAAGGACCTTGCTAAGGACTGTCGATGTGCGTCTTCTAGGGTCTGGGTTGAGTAAGATCCAGAGATGACATAACCCATTATTTTGATTTCCAGTCGAAGCCCGTCTTCATGCAAGCCTATTCAGATGATAAGCCCACAGCCACCCAGTCAGCGTCAAGCAGTACAACAGGCGGTACGTGCGCAGCTCAGCGTTCCCGAAAGGGGAAGCAACAGGACAATTATATGTTTCACTGCCGGGGCCTTCTCTTTATCCCGAATTCCCCCAACAACCGGACTTGTAAACAGTGACTTGTATGATATTTCGACTAAGTTTTTGGGCAGCCTAGGGTCTGAAGTTGATGATTGAAGGAGTCTGCCCGTTTTGGGGGGGCCTTTTAGCTGGATGGTCGATTTCAACCATAGTTCCTGAACCTTGAAGCTCAGGGTAACATAGAGACTCGAAATATGCACATGGCCCGTCACATGGCATTCTGCAAGTCTCCCAATTTCATTCAGGCAGCCCCCCAAATCCCATATCCTTTTGAAATCTTTCAGCAGATGTCGTTTTTGATCATGATTGAATCCAGAAGCATCCTTCTGAATAGGCTAGAGATTCTGCTGGACTATTAGTAGCGTCCCTCTAAGATCCTAGAGAATCGACTGCGACGTCCTTAGCAGGCTTTATCGGAAATGCCAAGATTGAGAAGCTTGCCAGTGTGGATGCGCGACTCCAAACCGAAAACTCAAGTTGAGGGGTCAAATGTTCATCGATAGTTGTTATGTACAGTATCATATACACCAAAACAAAAACCGAATCCGACACATTAACGCCCCTATACCATAGAACCCTATTACAGATCCCTTGTAGACCCCGTTTGAAGAAACCCTTTAAGCGAACCCTATTGTAATTATTAACCCCCTATATTACGCTCGCCCCGGCCGCAGGTGAGAAGTGCCCACATTGAAGCTTGGCTTGGTCGAATCCGAGAGCTCTTTTGGTCATACGCGTGGAAGCCACACAAGTACTATGACGGTTTAGAGTAAGTTTAGGTTACTCTGGGGGATTTAGGTTTACATTATCGTACTACCATGGGGAGTATGCAGAGCGGTTCTCCATCATCTGATGTACTCAATCAAACTACACGGGACCCGTACCCTTGCAACGGCCGGTGCATGGGACGATCACACAGCACAGCAGGCAGCATGTAGATTCATACTGTCGTCAGAAATCAACCCGGGGTCTTCGATCACCCCCAAACCACTGACCACTTGCATGTTCACATGTCTTCGACCCGCGCATCACTGTGCACCGTCTATAGCTTGGGCTGCGTGACATGCCAGTGCAAAGCAGCTCACAGCCTGGACCCCTCGTCGGAATCCCGAACAACCCAGTACCCGTATGGATGTCAGGTGATGGTTGGGGGTACATCAATGTGACACGGCAGCAACGGTTCAGATTGCAAGGCTTCGGCACACAGTCACTAGCGTCATTAGTGAACCGCCTCTCCCCCAACTCCTGTACAACCACCATGTTTTTTTGCCGCTGAGAATGGTAGTCAACGAGTCCAGGGTGCGCAGCGAAGTGTAAAGACTGCATCAGTTGATTGAGTTTTTTAAGCAGAATGAAAGAGTTCAGGGCCATGTCGGCCATGGTTGTGCCTTCGAGGAAAGAGCGAGAGAGGGCCATGTCGGCCATGGTTGTGCCTTCGAGGAAAGAGAGACTGAGGGAGATGTGTATGCGTGTATACATACATACATACATACATACATACCTACGTACGTACACACATACATACCTTTGCAATATACACAGTGGTCACCATTCTCGATCTTTTTTCTCAACCCATCCGTCCGTCTGTCTCATGCATAGCAGTTATGTGTATATGTGTGTATATATATATATAGATGTGTACTGACAGTTACACATATATATATGTATAAAGAGAGAGAGATGTGTACACACAGATGGAGATGGAGATGGATATACATATATAAATATGTAGACACAAACCTGCTTGTGAGGCTGACGATTCGGATGATAATGAAGAGACCGGGAGGCCAGGTAGATCTCGCGTGGCGGGAGGGATGGGCCGTAGGTGTGGGGGGCTTGTCGGGTGTAAGGCTTGAGGTCTAGGGTCTTGCGGATTTTCAGAGCTTAAGGGTTTAGAGTTTAGGGCTCCCGCAAAGGGTATCGTTTCGTGGGGTTTTGGAGCTCTTTGTCTTGGAGCTGCTTCAATAGACGCTCTCAGCCTTCTGTGCAAAACTACCTGAGAGGACGGATCTGTGCCACAGCATGCTAACGCCCTTAATCAACACTTGTAACTCCCATAGGTTACCCATGAAACCCTCAACCTCAAGATTCTAGGCAGACCCTGACCGCAAACCCCTACCCCAAACCCTAAAGCCGAAGCCCCAAAGCAACCCGTAAACCAGGATCCACTTCCCGAAATCTTGGCCCTACATAATAACATGTTCCTGAGTAGGAACAAGGGGTTGTCGATCCTGGAAGTCAGTGGGACGTTATGGCTTGAGGGTCCGAGAGTCTTTCACCATTAGTGTTACCACCATCATCAGCATCAGCAGCTGATACGAGCCTTACCAGCAATGTAGGGGCCTCAATCATTAGAGCAGGGTTTTGGGGATTCCTTATTTAACTATATAGTATAATATACCCCCAAACCCTATTCTTAATATTAAGGGCCCACCAATACCGAGACCCTGATCCCGTCACTCCTGTTGGCAGGCCCGAAGCACGAGAAGACTGCGCGCAGTGCAATGGCTCCGGCTTGGTTCTTGCGACTCCCCACAGCGCCCTGGCAGTGCTTGGTGCGCGCAGCTTCAGTGGTTTGGGGTTTTGGAATTTCCGCGTTCATGAAGAGTTTCTCACCTGGCAAGCTGGCATGCAGCTTGCATGGAGCAGTACTACAAGGGCCTAAACAATTACCAATTACTCTGTTGGGGGTTCCGTATCATATAATACCAAAACCCCAGTCTTATCAGGCCCCTATACTACGCTTTGTGTGTGCTCGTTCATGTGTACGTGTTCAATGTGTGTGTGTGTGTGATGTGTGTGTGTGTGTGTCTGTGCGTGTCTGTGTGTGTGTGTGTGTCTGTGTGTGTCTGTGTGTGTCTGTGTGTGTGTGTGTGTGTGTCTGTCTGTCTGTCTGTCCGTCTGTCCGTCGGTCTGTCTGTCTCTGTCTCTGTCTCTGTCTCTGTCTCTGTCTCTGTCTGTGTGTGTGTGTGTTTTACACGAGATGCGGTGTGCATGTATGTGTGTCTGAATGCATGTATGAGTATGAATGCATTTTTGCATGCGTATTTTTTGGACGCGTGTATGTATTTTTGAACGGTCGTATGTATGTAAAGTATGCAAAGTAAAGTAATGTAAGGCAAAAGTAAAGTTAAAATGGTGTAATCTTTTCATGCAATGTAATGTAATGTATGCATGTATGCATGTACGTACATACGTATGTATGTATGCCGCAGTCATATTGGCCACCATAAAGAATGCAGAGGGACAACAACTTCCTGTATGAATATAAACACCGGTGTTGACATACGCTTGCATACCAACACACAGAAATGTGTGCAAGCGCAGATGCGTGCTTTCAGCAATGCCGAAGCCTCATAATATGGCATAACTGTCTTGGCATATCATGCACAACATATCGTGGCATAACATAGCATAACATGACAGTGCATTACAGGACATGTCTGTGCACATGGTTACATACATAATGTGCATGTATGCATCCACGCATGCAGCTTTACCAAGGCATGGGCCGCAGAAGAACTGCGACAGCAAGAGGCTGCAGAGCGTCCATGTTCCAGATGCCCCCAAGACCCCAACACTTTTTGGGGCTCCGGTGGATGGTTTGGGGTTTAGGGCACCAAGCCCTAATTAAACCCTAAGGCCCCAAGGTGTGACTCCATCACTGTGGACGGTTTGCGGTGGCTTCTGTTCTTCAGCTTGATGCGCGCAGCCGTGCTGCTAAGGCCTTTGCATGGTTCGGCTGCATTATGAAGGCACCAGGTGGTATACTATAGTACACTGTCCTTGTAGTACACTTGTATACTGTAGTGCATAGTTTGCTGTTCCGCACTTTTGTATACTGTGGTCCACTACAGTATGCCTTGGTACGCTACAGTATACCACACTGTATTATAATATATTGTACTGGTTTCCAGGCCGAAGCGTTAACCTCGAGCCATGCAATTACTGTCGTCGCTTCTGGCCAGTATGCTAACCAGCGGTACTGCAACTTCGTTTGTTTCTTTGTCGTGGTATCCCGTGTACAACTGTCCTGGACAGTCACCATTACTGTAATTGTCCTCTTGTTGATTGAATTTCGTATCATTGGTTTTCATCCTTCTACATACTTCATCATGGGATAATTCCGTTCATTCTGTGAAGTCACGATGGATGTCTCTTGTGGTCCTCCTCGGCCTCCTGCTGCTATGGCTCCTTTGCTGTTGTTGCTGCTGCTGTGCTGTTGCCGTTGTGTTGATGTTGCTGCTGTTGGTATTGCCGGTGCCGTTGTGGCTGTGGTCGAACTGACTGTTGTTGCCTCTGGTGCTGTTTTCGGCTACCGCCCGCTTGATATGTATCTTGCACCTGTCCAGCCAGGACAGTGGCAACAATCATAAGCAGATTCAGCAGGAGAATGCGATTGCTCATCACTGATTGTCATTGCTAGGTCGAGCCACAAAAAATCGAACAGGTCCGTTTCTGTTGCCTAACGACAGCCACTCTTTCTATTTGAGAGGAACTGTGATGACTGTTTCTTTACCGCTGCTGTTCCTTACCATCCGCCTGAAGCCCTCAACAACTTAAGCTGACGCTTTCAGAACGTGGGGGTACCTTATTTAGGGTCCCGAAACAGAAGGCCCCGAAAAAGAAGTCTCCTATATTTTCGGAATCCAAAGTCATACCAAAAATCCGAAATCCTAACCCCTAGACAGCTAAACCCTTAGCATTATCTAAGGGCCCTTATAAGAAGGATCTTATTATTTAGGGTTCCATATGAAATTTGTTAGGGCCCCAGTAATCTTCGGAAACTCCTACATCCCACGCCCATTGCTGCCAGGACTGCCGGGCGTCGAAGCGCTGCGGGCTCTGCAGTGACCCTGCAAGTAGAGGTAGTGTAGGGTTGATGAAAGGCAAAGTTTCGTGGGTGTCTGAAGGGTATAGCGTTGTTGTTGGAAGTTGAAGGCTGAAGGGCGGTTGAAGGTAGGGTTGGGGGTTTACGGTTTGACATTCAACGATCGGTCTTTTCGCCGTTGCATCTGATTAGCGGCCGGCCGACATCACAGAAAAAATTCTTCGTCACCCGAAGCCCTGAGTAGAACCTCAAATCTCAGGCGCTGACCACCTGAATGTAGCACTCGAACTTAATCAATTAGCAATAATAGCTCCTTGTAGCCCCTACATACTTATAGCCTGACAGATAGACCTCAAAACCTTGTTCTAACTACTAGGGCCCCTACAGCAAGACGGGTGACAACAGTAGGTCCTTAGCGCTTCCCCGCATCTGGAGTTTGCTGCAGTGCCGGAAGCCGTTTGAGCAGCGCTTGGCGAAGCCAAGACGACTGCGTCCTGTACCCAGAGAGCCCAATACCCCTTGACTAAGCAATATACCTTAAATCATAATATGAAGCCCTATATAATCTAAGCCATATTCCTTAATTAACGGGTATTGGGCTCTCTGGGTAGGACACTGTAGGACTTAGCGGCTATTGGCCACTTAGCGTCCTCTGGCTCATGGGCTTGTGGCCACGTGGGCATGAGGACTTATGTGTCTAAAGAAATGCTGCGACCAGGTGCTGCTGGTTCATCGTTTCCATCAGGCAGAAAAACGGGCGTTGCTCCTTCCTACTTGGAGGTTCATGGGTCGTTAAACTTGGGGTTATAAGTCCCCTAATAGGAGTTACAACTGTAGTTGCCCCACATATAACTCCATTTATAACTGCCCCTCCAAGTGCTCCCTCCTAACCCTAAACCCTAAACCTTAAACCCTAAACCCTAAACCGAAACCCGGCCTCAAAAGCCTGAGGAATCCTGCGATGGAAAGCCTCAGTCTCTGCAGCTCCCGAGAAAAACAGTACAGTAGAAGCCAGAAAGTTGGAATATCATTATCGTAATCCCTTTAAGGTAAATTATAGGGGATCCTACCATAAATCCATATTCCGACTTTCTGGAGTTCCCTGTACACATGAAAGTATTAGATCGTAGAAGATCTAGAGTTTACTGTAGAACATGGCAGCATAGTGTGGTTTACTAGAGTGTAATGCATATAGTAGTTTGTAGTAGCATGGTGTGCTAAAGCATCTTGTAACCGTAAACCATACTGTGACTTTGCAATGCATGTGCAACTCCTACCCTAAACCGAACTCTAAACCCTAAACAAAAAAACTAAACCCAAAACTCTTCTCGCCCTCGCAGGCTGCTTAGACGGTGAGTTGCCTGCGCGCGCCTGTGGCTGAGCTAGATTCCGAAGATTTATCGCATGTTGGTTGAGGACTCTTGTCAACTTTCGGATACTTGGTCTTCTGAGACTGGTATGTGGCCGGAAGGAGCTTCATCAGCAGTCGGAAATGCTCAACCAAATTTAGATAGAGCCAAGTTTTACAGCTTGCACTGCCTGGGCTGCTTTTTCATTCTGGGCAGTTGTTTTTGCATCGTGCGGTTGGCCCGATTTACTGCAAAGGCCTGCGTAGACAGATTTCAACCCAAAACCGTCTACCGCCGCCAGAAAAGCGAAAAAACCTAAACCTCAACCCGAAACCCTAAACTGAGAGCTAGCAAGAAATCGGGCTCTGAACCGGCGTATGCTACATGTTTCAGCCAGAGGCTTGGAGCCAGGCTTCCCAATTTCCTTCGTAAATTTGGGGTACTTTATGTTGGGGTTCTTATTACCTTGTAATAAGGATCCTACTATTTAGGGTACTATATCAAGGTCCCCTGTTTTCGGAACCTCCCATTTCGTGTCGAGTCAAGTCAAAGACCGTTTTCTGGGCGTTGTTGGCTCCCCGCCCCTCCCCTCGACCCGAAAACCACACCCCCTCGTGCAACTCGGCGGACTCGCAACTTTTAAGAAGCTGCGTGACGAAGAAAGTTGTTGGCGTGGCAGGCATTGGCATGTTTAATCTTGGCAGGGCGCTCATATTGAGATTCATATATATTTATATGTCGAGTAATTCAATCTGGAATATGAGTCAGCTACGGTATTCCCTCGAACCATGGGCGAAATATATTTTTTTTGTTAACGCACCTTTACGACTGCGCAAAAGAGTCCGGTCCCCGTGCACGCTGCAAACTACGGCAGGCGGCTCGGGGTGGGGGGGGGCTGCGTCGTGCAGGACGTCCCCGAGCGTGGGGAGCTGAGAGCAAGGCATGGCCCTAGCGATAAACGGCGTGCCGAGTAATGTTGCAGCAAGTGTGCTTTGCAAAGCAACAGCACCGCGTAGGGCAGCAGGAGCACGCTGGGCACGAAGTCGCGCTAGTTGGTGCGATTAAGATAAGTTATAAGTTCTTTGATATATAGATGCATGCGGCAACATCTTATATTTTATATCATTTTACTATCGGATCATAATTATTACTTGGAAATATGTAGGTAATATTTTTCTTTCTCTATTTTTTTTATATATTTTTATATTGATTGATAATTATATTAAAAAGATTAAAAAAGGAGCATGTTTTTTTCATAGATTTTCGTTTTATTTAGAATTTAAAGAGATTTATTTATTAACATAATTTTTTAAGTATTATGATAATAATTAAGATATTATTTATTCTGATTTCGATATAAAAAATTATATTTTCTAAAGAAATGAATAAAATTGAATCATTCTTTCGTAATATTCCCGTCGTAATTATAAGTAGAGATAATATTAAGTCGATTTCATGATATTTTAAAATTTAATGAAATGAATTACGAAATCTAATTCTTGAATTTTTGTTGGTTTCAAATTATTTTCTTATCGATAATCTTTCTGAGTTATTGTTCTATTTCTTTTCGTACGAGGCTTTGACAGGATTTCTATCATTTTTGTCGATAAATTCATGCAAAAATATTGAATTTCTTTGGAAATTTCATAGATCGAACCCTTAAAAAATTCTTTGGGAATTTCAGAAAAATGGGTCCGATGGCCTAATTTATAGGGAAAATTCATTGCATTTCGTCTCTCTATCTCGCTCTCTCTCTCCGTCTATCTCTTTTTCTATATGAAGATTTCTCGCCTGGACATAAGATTTATATTTAAATATTGGAATATAAGATCGAATATAAAATTAATGCAAATTTTCTGCTTGTATGGGATTGCTAGGCATGGTTAGTTTTGCTAATTAATATTGCGGAATATCGTTTACTACAAAAATAATCTTAGATTTCTTGCTCCGTTTTCTATGAGTAGCAATCAGATAGGGAATACTAATAGCTCACGGGATTGCTATACGACCGCTGCTGGAAGCAACGGGCTACCTCTAGTCTTTATAATAATAAAAATCTTGAAAAATATCTTTGTTTTCTTTTTCTGGACTCTAGGGAATTTTTAAGAATCCTCGGAATCGAAATTTCTTATTAGAATCTTCATATCGAATAATTTGATTCATTATCGAAATCTTTTCCTATTCCATTATACTATTACTATTATAAGTAGGGATCGCATCTTGGAATTTATATTATTTTAATTCTGGTTTTGGAGGGCGTCGACGCGTGCGCGAGCCTTAATAGGCCTATTCTTGGATATTTATGAGAATCGTCGTATTGGAGGATATGCGGAGTGCCTAATTTGTTGCTCGTCCTTGATTATATAAATCGAATTTAATAGAAAATCAAATTCTAATTTTCGGATGGAGATATCGAAATTGGTCGAGATTCATAAATCTATGAAAGTCATAGAATATGCTAGTAAATATCACTAGTCATCCTTGAAAAATCTTGGATTCTCCGTATTTCTGACCATCGCGGGGTCTAATATATATGTTAAAATCTAAATAGATTTTTATAATAGAAAAAAGAAGTCCGATATTATATTGGAGACATTGAAGCTGATAGAAATCAATACGAAATTTATCGGCAAATATTCCTTATTCTAATAAATATTCTTAGAAATTATACGATTTTCTATATTGATGGCAATCGGAATTGCTGAAATAAAACGGGATCCCCGAGATTCGTCTTCGCGATCTGATATAATTTTTTTTTATATCAATAGAACTTGATAGTAGGAATTCAATCCCTTATTTTCTATTAGAGATATCGAAATTGGTGGAGACGGGTAATCTACGAATATTATCGAATTTTCTGATAAATATTCATTTTTCCGATAATCATCCTTGAAGAAATTTAGATTCTCCAAATTGAGAATTATCGGAATCATTGATTTTGGGGGAATTACCGAGATCCAATCGCGGCAGAATATAAATGCCATATTTTATAATCAGAATTTTTTAATCGGGAATCCCGCGATCTATCCGCGATCTGATAGAAATATTATATATTATAAATCAAATCCCAATTTTCCATTAGAAATACCGATATTGATGGAGATCCGCAAATCCTCGAAAATCATCGAATTTATCAATGAATATTCATTTTTTTCCATAATCATCTTTGAAGAATCTCATTTCTAGCTATCAGAATCATTGAAATAGAGGGGAACCGCAAGATCTATTCGCGACCTGGATAAAATATAAATAGAATTTGATAATAGAAAATCAATTCCTGATTTTCCATTATAGATATCGATATTGACGGATATATTCAATTCTTCAAAATTATCGAATTTATCCGACAAATCTTCAATTTTCCGACTCTATTATTGAAGAATCTTGGATACTTCTATCTATCAGAGCTACTGGAATGGGGGATCCCCGAGATCTACCAGCGGCCTTAGAAAAAAATGATTTTATAAATAGATTTCTATATCATAAGATCCAATCCCAATTTTCTCTTTAGAGATATCGAAATTGATAGAATTCGTAATCTGAACCAAATCTTTCGATTTCGCAGATTAGTACTCCTTTTTCCAGCAGCCATCATTGAAATGAATCTTGGATTTTCCGTCTTTCTGGCCATAGGAGTCGTTGAAATGATTTATTATCATTTTGCTACTACTATTGGCTCTCATATTGATTGATATAGACGCCCGAATATCGATATATCATCACTCTACGTACTTTTCGTATCGGTGGTCGATATTTCGTGAATCCGTGAGTTGTTGCTTTATTGATCATATGATGATCATTATTAATATATAGGAATGAAAGTAGAAGTCTATAACTATTGATAATAAAAAAATTTGAGAATGCTTCAGGCGATCGTATCAGGTGCCTATAGAATTTTGAGAATATGAGCCATAATTCAGAAATCAGCAATCCTATGATAGAATAGGCTGACTGGTTAATATAAAAATCGGGGGTCAGATCAATAGATAAGATTATAATTTTTATCTCTACGATATGGGGAAGAGAAAAAATCTTGATTTCTATGAGATCTTTATCTCTAGCCTGGGATAGAAATATAAATTAGGATTCTATTTATTTCCTCCCCTGATTTTAGAATATCTATCCGTATTATATCATTTTTTCTTTTATCGGTAGGATCTGCGAAATCCAGAAGGGGCGCTTATAGATTTTGAAAGGACTTGTCTGGAATCTTGAAAGATTTGAATCAGATATCAAAGATTCAATAAGGATTTGAAAGAGATTGATGGATGTTATACGATATTGGAGGATTTGATCTATATATATATATATATATTGATTTGATTTTGGCGTCAGATCTTCTCTATTTGATATTCTAAATATAAATGAATCTTATGAAAATCATATTTAAAATTCAATATATATATATATATATATATATCATCTAGACAAGAAATCTACGAAATTATATAATAAATCTTTTAGCATATCGATAAAACTACAATAATAAAAATCGTAGAAATACGCTCAAAATCCTTGTAATAATAATTTCAAATTCTATGGAAATATCTAATATGTAGATAATAATCAGATATCTAAGCTGACGAAGAACTTGATTATTGATTCTAATATTGATATAAATATATTGATTTTTATAATTCATCTTTTATGCGAAGTGCCTTTCGTATATAGGATCGATGCGTCATATATACGTGAGAAGAAAGATATATCGATTGAATTATTCTTTATAGAATATCCTGCGTTCGAAGGGACGAATATATTGGCATGGTCGATATTTCGCGCGTCATGTTGAGAATTGGGAGGGTGGGGAGAGTTGATATGAAAATCAAGAAAAAAAAGGGGGAAGATTTATTTTTATTGAGAGAATTGAGAGATTTGTACGCGAATCAAAATTCATTATCCTTAGATATATTATGTGTATTATGTATTAATGTATTATATATATCAAAATATCATGGTAGGTATTATGTATTATAAATGAATTAAGAATATCGAAAATATTATATATATTATGAGTATAGTATAGATAATATATGAAATATGAGTATTATGTGGAATGAATATGATCCGTATATCGACGTCGTATATAATAGATAAGAATTAAAATAAGGGTATCTTATCTGCTGAATATATATCTATATATCATATATATTAGATATATCTTATATATCGTATATATATATATATATGAATTGAACTATCTGTAATATATATACACAATTCCCGACCCGGCCTTCACCATTCGAAAGTCGCCCAGTTTTTTGCCACGGGCTTCGCTGTATATTGCCTGTGACTTGCGGAGCAAATGGAAACGGGGTGAAATGCTTTACAGATGAGGCCTCAGCCTCATGTAATGCCCCAGCTCAAGGCTTGAGTCCAATGTGGACCCACTCCATAGGCTTGGATGGCAACGGGGCAAGAACACTGGAGCATATACAACTTTGTTGCTGCTCGGGCTCCTACATTCACAAGCCGAGGGAATTATACTCGTCAGGACATATACAATTCCCGACCCGGCCTTCACCATTCGAAAGTCGCCCAGTTTTTTGCCACGGGCTTGCTGTATATTGCCTGTGACTTGCGGAGCAAATGGAAACGGGGTGAAATGCTTTACAGATGAGGCCTCAGCCTCATGTAATGCCCCAGCTCAAGGCTTGAGTCCAATGTGGACCCATTCCAGTGAACGCCCATTCACATCTGCTCGGCCTAAAGGCCGGAGTCGCAGGCAGGCTCAGCGCTCGGAAGACTTCAGATAGCACACGAGGGCTGGGCCAAAGCTCTGAGATTGCCGTCGAATCGAGTTCACTCGCTTCGGCGAAGCTTGCTCCCACCGTTTGAGCAGCAAGGCATGCTTCTCATAACGGGTGACACTTTTGCGTGCCTGCCAGCGGCCACGTTTCTGGATCTCATTGAGCGACCGTCTGTTGTGGAACATATCGTTGGATGCTCCAGAGTGTCTAAGAATGTGCGGCATAATGCAAGTAGAGCGGGAACCTAGCTGCTTGCAGCTCTTTTCGCACCAGCGTTCATAGAAGCTCAGCGTGACGCCAGGGAAGAGCTCATGCTTGCATTTGCCCACGTAAAGTTCCATTGCATCGGAGAGCCAACGACGGTCTGCCATGTCAGCGATCATGACAGAGTCGTCGGAGGTGCCTTGCTTGGTTCGCTCTCCTAAAGCAGAGGGTGCAATCACCAAAGACCTTTGTTGTAACGGCCGCCCGCAGGATATCCGACATGGTCCACGGTGAGGCCAAGCAATTCCGAGGGGCGCAGGTACGTGTCATACTGAAGGCTGAGGGCGAAGGCCAGGTCGCCACGCTGCTGTTGCCAAGAAGCCGAGGTCGTGGATGAACTCCTCCGGAACCGGGAGGCGCATGCTCCCTGGCTGGAGTTTCTTCCATCCGTTGAGAGCTTCTATGGAGTTCGCTAGGAACTCCTGCTTGGGCCCTATGTTGCGTAGCAGCTGCAGGCCATAGATCACGTAGGCACCGTTGGAGGGCTGGACTTCATCATCCTCTTCCAAGAAGTTCAGGTAGAGGGTGACCACCCTATCCAGGGTTTTGTTAAGTGACCCGGTGTCCGTGAGCTCGGGCCCACGCCTCGAACTCGCGGACATGCTTGTAGTACCTGTCCAGGGTTTTCTGTGTACCTTCAAAGCTCGAAGACGTAGGAGTGGAGGAAGGCTTGCCCCCTCTGGTGTCGTCCTGGGCTTTGCGCGTCTTTTCGGGGTCGTCGTCGAACTTTTTGTAGCCGGCGAGGCGGGCGATATCCTTGGCTGTGAAGTGGCCGAAGATGACCGGATGCGTTTGGAGGTACCGCTTGGCTCCTCGAAGGAACTTGTAGCTGTCCTGACCTTTGTGACCTGCTCGAAGATCTTCGTCGGTATCTGCATCATGTGGTCGGTGAGCTCGACGGGCCGCCGCCTCGACGCCATGGAGAAAACTCAGAACAGTCTCCGGCGATGTAGTCCCGGTAGCTCCTGGTGGCGCTGCGGACGCTTAAGCAGTTGAGTCCAAGCCGCGCACAACGACTCAGGATAAGCTCTTGCTGCTATGGTGCGATTGCAGGATTGAAGCTTGCCATCCACAATCGACATCACTGACCCCTTCAGTCGTTCATGAACATGACCCCCTGGACAGCGTCTTGCTAGGCTAGAGAGTGAATGAAGGTCCGTGAGCATGCTCGTCGGTTTCTTGTAAGGAGTGCCCCAGGCGCACGTGTGGAAGGTGAAGAAGCAGACGTGCTTGTTAAGGAAGATGTCTCGAATTGGACCAAACTCCCACAATCGACTTGTTTGAGGATTTTCTATGATGAAATGCACCCCTGCTGCCACAAGGGGTTCCAAGGTGCACGCACCAAACCACTCGATTTCTGATCATGTTGAAGATTAGCTCCTGGGTCTCTGGGCATGTCAAATCGAAACAAGATCCCTTGCCAATCTCGAAGTCAGGAAGTACCCGAAGCCCCACCCGCTGTACAGCGGCTGTCAGCCGCCCCGTGCCAGAGAAAAGTTCGAGGAAGTGGCGAGGTGCCAACAGTCCTCATTCTGTCCCCGGCGACTCTCGTCTCCAAGACCAAGTGGACGAGGCCACGGCCCAGCTCAAAAGAGTCGGCTCGGCAATGCGAGCCCTGGGTGCCATGTCCTCCGCAATCACGTCGATCATGTAAAAGATCAGGCTCAGTCGACGCAAAACGTTCCCAAATCGGAGCCGAGCTTGCAGGCACAACATGTCGGGTATGAGGTCGAGGAAGATCGGGGCCAAACCATCTCTCGATGTGGCGAAGTCTCCACTGAATCCGTCCAGCAAGCTGGTAGGCGGCGGCTCTCCTGCAGAGGTTGTTGAGAGGCCTCGATCCGCTGCGCCCTTTCTCAAAGGCCAGAGCCGAAACCAAGTTGTCTGTAATCGTCAGTGCTGTGGTGCCCAAGTTGCGAGAGGTTCGACACAGTCTCCTCAGGCTCATCAAGCACACTCTCGCTTCTTTGAAGTTAATGTGCTCCTTGATGTTTTTACAGGGTTTGGCAGTCACAAGAGTCCAGCGCTCCATCCCATGGGCACGCCTTTGAACGCGGCGTAAACGCGCTCATGAGCCCGGAGAGGGAGCTCCTTGTCAGCCTCATCGTCATAGACGGCGTCCACGTGGATGCCCAAGTCCGCGAGCTCAGCCTGGTCGAAGTCATCGTCCGTGCAGAACCACGCGGCCAGGGCAGGGACGGTAAAATTATAGAAGCAGTCTCCCACATCACCGGCTTCGCTCGTCACGCAGGCCTCGCCGAGGTAGCCGCCAAATCCATCAGATTCCAAAGTCCCGGGTGAAAGGTCAAGGTTTGTCATGCCCGCCGGCGTCGCAAGGCGAGTCGTCGGTGGAGGCCTGTGACAAGAATTGGCTTGCCGCGCATCAATAATGAGACGCTGTTGGTCTGTGTCTTTCTTGCGCACGGTGAAGAAGCCAACTCTTGCCTTGCGGCGTCGACGAAAGGTCAGGAGGTTCGCTTCGAAGAGGGCCCGGTAAAGCTGCAGACGAAGGAGCCGATCTCGCCGAAGACGGGGATCCCAGTAGGGCTCCACCAGGTTCCCGGTATCGCGGAGCCCCTCGAGCTCTTCCGGAGTCCTCTCCACCAACACGTTGAACTTGTCCAGGTAACACTTGGTCTCGGGGGGAGCCAGGTCTCTGGCGTCCTGCGGTTGGAGCCTCCGCCGTAGAATCTTGATCTTCCCGAGATCCGTGTCCACAAGGTGGCAGGCCTCCTGCGAGTACAGGTTGGCTCGCCTGCAAAGGTCACCGAGAGAGGAAGCTTCAGTCACTTCAGCTGGACACTCTCCGTACATGGCAACCCTCCGCCAAATGTCTCCCATCATCCGCTCCTGAACTGAGGTGAGTGGGGGAGGGGCGGAGCTAGATGGCACAAAAGGGATTGCGGCAAGATTGTTTAAAGAGCGGAGCGCCGCATCAACTCGCCGGTGCAATCGGGTAAAAGGAGGAGTCCCCGGAGAACTCGATGAAGAAGAAAGTCGGGGTAAAGGAAAAGGATCACCATGTTTTCGGTGAGGAGAAAGACCCCGAACTCCGAATTCAGCCCATGCATCTGCCGAAGAAGTTGGGGTAGGGCCGGACATCATCCTCGGCGTGGCCCCACCCAAGAAGAAAGCTACTTTGCCCCGCCAGAGCTGCCCGCAGCAGCTCCGGCCGTCGCACTGTCTCCTTTGCCTCCTTTCTTCTTTTTCTTCTTCTTCTTCGGATTGCCCTTGCCACCATCATCGGAGCTGCTGCCATCGTCTCCGTCTCCTCGATAGCCGCGCCCTCGAAGCTGACGTCGCTCTTGATTGAAAAGCCTCTCTTATTTCCAAAGAGAGGCCCGCTCTTTGAGGCGTGCCGAGACCCACTCCGAGAACTTGGTGGTCGCTGCCCTCCCGTCAGGTAATTGAGCGGTCCCACTCACGATGTCAAGCCCGCTGAAATCTGGAGCAGCAGGATTCCGTTCCACCGCAAGCTCGGTCTGGATCACCCACCTTGTCAAATGCTCGCCCATTGCAAGGGCGCTAACGTCAAGCTGATCGAAAGAGTGCATCAACCTCAACGCCTCGCAAATGGCCCGGTGAATGTGAACCGAGCTGGTCTTGCGATTGGCCCCTGACAAGCGGACCCATTCTGAATGGTAGGTGAGGAATCCCTCCGTTGTCAAGGAAACTGCTTCATGAAACTCCTTAGCGGCCCGAGCGCCCTGGATCGGGAACTCAGGATCCATAGGGCATTTCATCAAGGGGACGGCCTGGCGGAGACCGAGGACCTTCTTGCCACTGGCATCGCGATGGTCGCCTAGGAGTCGCACGTCGGCGGCCTCCAGGTCACGCTTCCTTTTCCAAGCATCCAAATCGCTGATCATCACTCGCTCGACAAAGACTTCTTCCCCTTCAAGGATTATGACCCCCTTCATTGTGAAAGCCAGCCCTGTAGCCTCATTCGCAAGCAAGGCAGCGTCCACCGTGCGGCCGAAATCTGAATGAGTACTCTCAGCCACAACCCACTGGGAGGCCTCGGAGTCAATCACGGCGCTCTCTCCAAGAATGGACGCCTGGATCTGAGCCTGCCTCCTGAAGTTGGACAGTGCAGCTCGACCTATGGGGTCGTGGGCATAGATCAAGGCAGCTATGTCAGCCGGGAAAGGGGCTGCCCGGTCAAGCACTCTGTGATTTTGTATCGAGAGATCATGTCGTTGAAGCTCCAGATCGGGCGTAAGGGTGATCCATCGTCCACCCTCGATCCGGTGAAGCAGGACCCTGTGATGCCAATCGAAACCTCCCGGGTCTCCGGGATAATGAACCACTATCTGGATCTCCGAGATATCTAGAGTGAGGTCTGCCATTTCTTCAGATCGGACGGCCTAGTCGGACGTGCCGAAGCCGGGCGAGAAGTAGGAGAGGTAGAAGAGCTGGATCCCAAAGAGGTCTCCGAAAGTCTCTCCGAAATCAAACCTGATCCGATCCCTGGACTCTGGTCACAAAGAGCTTCGGCCGAGGACTCGGGAGCAGGAGCGGCCCTCGCTCTAGTAGAGAACCACACCCAAAGCAGCAGTCCCACAAGAAGTAGATCCGCCAGCCCGCTAAGTCGAAGCAGCTAGCTTTGCACCCACAGCTGAACGCTACAGGATCCGGATGCCTCCTCAAGCTGAAGCACTGCTTCGCGAGTCCTCGCCACCTCGTCTCGCAACGAATGGATCTCCTCCAAAGCAAGAAGCGGTGGTCCTGGACGATGTCTTTCCACAAACCAGGCTATGGCGAGTCCTATGGACACTAGGTGCGAAGTGCTCATACGGGGGAGCTCGGGCAAGAACACTGGAGCATATACAACTTTGTTGCTGCTCGGGCTCCTACATTCACAAGCCGAGGGAATTATACTCGTCAGGATATATATATAAGATATAATATATATTCAATATATTATATATATATATATATAACGAATGGAACTTGCATATATATTCTATATACGTATATATATATATATATGAATATGAATATGAATTTAAAAAAATCATAATGAATTATGAAATATATATTTCGAATGAATTCGATCTATCATATGTATCCGTACGATCCTCTCAATAATATCTAGAAATTCTTTGAATATCTATGAGTATAGAACTATAAATAGGCGTATATATATATAAGAAACCTCTTCATATCAAGAGTCGCGGTAATAATAATATCAGAAATATAACGATAATAATAATATCAGAAATAAATCTAGAATATTAATCAAACCCCTGTAATCGTCGTCGTGAGAACGGTCGTTAAAAAGAATGAAATATACGCATTAATATAGACACACCCATATATAGAGACACACATACACGCACAAACGCACAGAGAGACAAACACACGCAGACACACACACACACAGACACTGACACTGACACTAACACTGACACTGACACACACACACACACACACCGACACACACACTGATGGATTCGGCCAAGAGTACGAGTGCAAGAGGAAAAAGAGAGGCATGTTGTTCATGTTGTAAAAGTTTGTCAGATTGTGGCAACCGTACAACTTGTTTGTATAATCTGGACACCACAGGGGGCCTGTCCTCACACTAATCTTGGCACCACAGGGGGATGCCGAAAATTGCGCAGGTACATGACTGAGCGTCCTCAATCACTTCCCTTCCAGTGACCTAGCTTCGTTGGATCAGGTCAGTCACTGGAAGCCTGATCCCCCTGCAACAGTTGATTTGGTAAATGTCCGATGTCGGATTATGTTGAAAAGCGAAATTGCAAACAGTGTAGGAGTGACCCTCTGCTCCCATGTGCTAGGGAGGTTCACACACACACAGCCCCAATGGGGCGTACATGCTTCAAGTAGAGTGAAAGATCTGATGCGTGGCAAAAGGAGTGAATGGCGCACTTTTCTCGCTGTCACAAGCGATCAGGTGATTGTCGTATTTCCTGATCCGAACAGGTTCTAACAAAAAGCACCGGCTTCAACGTGGCTAATGTGGTGACTGAATCCCAATCATGTAGTCGTCGACCGTTTTGTTCGAAGAAGAAAGCTGGGATTTTAGGAGTTCTGCCGGTGATCTCCTTGATGCGGTAGGAGAAGATCTTGCGAGCTTGGAGAACGTTGTCACCCAGACAAAGCACCACGTGTAAGAACATGTGCTTGTCTCTGGTGATGCGGTCGGGTGGAATTTCAACAGTCATCCGACAACATTGTCCTGCCATGGAGTACCATGGAAGGCCGGCCTCGGCAGCCTTTCGCTTTGTCATATTTTTGCTGCTACCAACCGACAAACGCTTGAACAAGGAATGCAAATCAACATGGACGTGCTGTGTGCTCAGGAGAAACAACAAAGTGGTGTCGTGCTGACACTCGCATGCGCAGGCTTTTTGTCACGCTTAGCGGATCTTGCAGCCCTAATCCGTCCTGAGTATTAGGATCCAACAGCGAGTTTGTTGGGACAGTCGCTCATGATCTTGAAATGGCATCTACATCTAAAACCTGCACGTACCAGCATTTTTGCACAAGCGGTTTTTGACCGCTTGTGCTGAATAGTAGGATGCACAATATCGTAAGGTGCAATCGAGTCAGAAGACCAAGGATCTCGCGATGGAGATCGGTGTGTGTCCTCAGCCATGTATGACGTTGCCGTAGGTGACGCTGATGATGTTGAATGCGAAGAGCGTGTCCTCTTTCGTCTTGTAGTATGTGGATGTTGGCGTCGTTGCTGTGTTGTGGATTGGGATGGTGGTGAGGTGTTGCGTGTTTTCTTTGTTTTCATGACTGTTTTGTCCTTTTTGTCTTTGTTGTCTTTCTTCTTTTTTGTCCTCGTTGTGTGCTTTGTTTTTGCTTGTGTGTGTGACTGACTGCATGGGAGGATGTGGTGGTGTCATCCTTCCTCAGGAAGGCATCAATCTCTTCGGATCCCCATAGGCTGCTGTCGTCGTCCTCGTCCATCTGTGTGCGATCCTAAATATGTTTCAGCAACTGTAGTTCTGAGAAATGGCTGCGGAGTCACAACTGCATTGAGGCATGTGCATACGCTGATCTTCAGAAGAGAGAGAGAGAGGTAAACAGAGACATCAATTGAGCAACCTCGCCGACCGGCATGAACTTTCAACATGATGCTCTTAATGTTGAACCTCATCAGGAATGATGGAGTTCGCAGCACAGCTTTGCTGTGTGGTTGTTGACTGCCGGGGGCAGCAAATGTGCATCTAATTGTCAACTCAGCACTGTTGCTCATGGAGTTCTTGACCGCTTTCTCTTGTTGGATGTAGGAGTTGATGTAGTAGATACTGTCTCCTTTTGGGTAGGAGTCGTTGATGTCGGACGCTGATCAGGTTGCTCCGAATGCTTTCGTATCCACTCTTGAGATGCGATAAAGTACACACGCCACCAGGAAGAGCCGTTAGTGGCCCAATGCCATCTCCATTGTGATGCCGTGGGAGATCGCGATCTGGTGCGTTGTTCCATGGTGCTAACACAACTGGTTGTTTTGCAAAATGCTGCGGGAAAGGATGCATCAATCGCTGCATGCCAAACATATGTGAAGTGAGTGCACTGACTGTCACAGTTGGCAACAACGACTATCGTTGTTTTTACCGTCCTCTGCAAAGCACCCGATGGTGGTATGAACATGGTGGATCACCTATTGTTGCGAAGCTTCGAGTCTTTCCACTCGTTGCTTTAGCTCTGTGATCTGCCGGGTTGTTTGCAGAATAAACTCAGCTAATTGGTCGCGTAGAGCCTCGTCACTGAATGTGGAAGGTTCACTTCCAGTTTCGGAATCACAGTCCCGATGCTGTGTCAAAATCTCCATGAGGGCCTCGGAGAGAGCTTCACGTCGTGACTCATCGACGGGTGGCGAATCTGTAGTCACTGTGTTGGTCGGAAGAGATGCTTCGCTCATGGCTCGATGTCGGGATTTCGATAGGTGTCACTCTGAGGCAAAACTTCAGAAGGCAAAGTTATGGTGTGTGTCTGAAAGCAACATGTGTTGAAATGCGAGAAATGTGCACTACCTGGCTCTTTTTATACCAGCGTACCTTATCAGCATATTCACGACCAATCAGGCGCGCTTTGCCTGATGAGGCTTTCGAGTACGTCGAGCTGCTGTTTGCACGAGGCGAGGATCGCCGTGGTAGCCTCGTGTTGAGTAGTCAACACCGTTGTAGCCTGTTGTATTAGGCGCTCGAGTTTGGCATTCGATTCAAGCAACGAATTATGAAACTGCGTTATTGCTGCCATAATCTCAGTCGATGAATCCGGATCAGGGTGATGCGGAGGTGGAAATGGCGGGGTCGTCGGTGCAGCCACTGCTGCATCCTGCTGTTCTTCCGGATCTTGGTGTTGCTCTTGGTAATCTTGGAAATCTTCGTCTTCTGCAACACGTAGGAACTGAGAGCGCAAAAGCGCCGGCTGTGGATTGTGGCTGCCAACCGCAGGTTGCTCGTTGCGGCGTCTGCTATGCTTGGAGATGGATGGCCGAGGACGGCCGCTTAGCGCTTTGTGGCTCGGCTGCAATCTGCCAGTCATGGCACTTTTATGCATGATGATGCCTCAGTTAACCCTGTAAATGGCTGCGGGAAGCACTGTGTTGATACAAGGCGGCTCTCATGTTGCAAAGTTGCATGACTCTGGACACACGCACGGCAACTTGGCACAGTGTTTTGCTTACAGCTGTTGATCAGTATAGCCGGCAGCGATGTAGAGATCGCGCATGGCTCGAATGGCGGATGTGGCCTCGCTGCATGGTGTTGTCACTCTGCGTACCATGCGTGTGCGGGCCTGAAAACTGCTGCGAAGTATTGCAACAGAGGTGGCTGACTGTGGGTGTAAAATATCCGCCTTGTGCAAAGTGCATTGATGCGTAAGGCTGCTGTGCTGAGGGTTTATGGCGAAACCCAGGAAAATGTTTGCCGGTTCAGTTTCAAGCTGAACCGGTGGTTTGTAGAAAGATGCGTCAGTAAGCTGTGCAAAAGGAGGCAGTCGGGTCAGCTGTGCAGGTAAAAGAAGGACGCGGTTGTCGACGTATCTGGTAGCAAAAAAGACAGCTTGATCCTGCTTGTTGTGGTCTGGAAAATGCTTGTGATTCGTGAAAAGTTGTTTGTATGTGTGGTGCCAACACTGTTCTTCGACGGCAACCACGATGTTGCATAGGGCCGGGCTGCAGGGCGAGCCCATAGGTGCACCGCGAAATTGCTCAATAAGTGATGTACAAACAGTGAAATAGTTGAGTCGGAGCACTGCAATGATGAGTTGTGGTATATGTTGTAATTGTATGCAAAGTTTGTTGCCGGAAGAGGCTTCTTGCTTCTTTTGTCTGCTTTTGCCCCTGTGGACTCGATGTGTGGGGTCT